GCTCCCTCACCAGTGCTGATGGTTGACTGTGGTTCCCAGATGTTGACCTAGTTGACTTACGGAAGATGGGGGATTTTCTAAGAACTGGATTACCTTGAATCGGCTCCCAATGCGACTTCACCAGTTGGTTTTCAGCTGTGACCTGTTGCAAACAAAGGCTCTGCCAATCCCTGATGGCTTTCCTCTTCAACCAACCTAGAAGGAACATCTGGCTGAAGAAAGTTGTGTATTTCCATACTAACACTCCTAAAGATTGTTAATAGGAAAAACTCATGTTAAGCGGAACAATTCCAGACTTTCTCCTCTTGCTATATCAGTTTATGACCACAAGATGTCAGGGCATCATACATTATTTAATTTCCTGAGCTGTAATAAATGGGATGTTGTTTTTTTTTCAGATGGCACATTGTATTCTTTAAATCAATCTTTTAAATATTTGATGGGGACCCCCTGAAATCAGCTTGAGTTACCCGAACCTGATTTCATTACGCATATGAACTAGCTCAAGAAAATAAAAGGTTAAATCATGCATGCACACAAGTATTTAAATACAACTGCACCAGCATATCTAAATCAGGGGTGTCAAACTCGCAACATCATGTGATGTGTCACAATGCAACGCAACTTTTTTTCCATTGCCGGCAATGGGGTGGGCACGGTTTTGGCATGACACATCTGGCCCATGGGCCAGCAGTTTGACACCCCTGATCTAAATCAAATAGAGTGCTTGATAGGGTAAAAAGGTGAAATTCAGAGGCTTTCAAGGGAAGGTCAGAATAATTAAGTTGGTGACTGACATGAAAACTTGTTTTGTTTTACTTTTGTTTTTATAATGGATGCTCCTGGCAGACTACCTACCTACCTACCTATCATCCATCTATCTATCTATCTATCTATCTATCTATCTATCTATCTATCTATCTATCTAACTAACTAACTAACTAACTAACTATCTAACTATCTCTATCATCTGTCTGTCTGTCTATATCATCTGTCTGTCTATTTATCTATCTATCTATCTATCTATCTATCTATCTATCTATCTATCTATCTATCTATCATCTGTCTGAATGGAAGAAGAAATATATATCTTTCTCTTCGGTCGTGTCCAATTCTCGGAGATTGCCTGGATGAGTGCCTGCAGTTTTCCTGACAAGGTGTTTCAGAAGTAGTTTGCCATTATATATTGCCTATAGCTTGGAGTTTGATCCTGACAGGATTCAAGGTTGATTCAGCCTTCCAGCCTTCTGAAGGACGTAAAATGAGGAGCCAGATTGTTGGGGAAATATACTGACATAGTAAACAACTCAGAGAGGGCTGTAAAGCACTGTGAAGAGGTATATAAGTCTGTCTATCTATCTATCTATCTATCTATCTATCTATCTATCTATCTATCTATCTATCATATCTATCTATTTACTCTTTCTATCTATCGTCTCTATCATATCTTTCTATCTATCTATCTCTGTCTATCTCTATATCTATCTATCTATATCTATCTATCTATCTATCTATCTATCTATCTATCTATCATCTGTCTATCTTTCTATCTATACCTGTTTGGGGGAGTTGAACCAGTGGTGGGATTCAGCCAGTTCGCACCAGTTCAGCAGAACCAGTAGCTAATTTTTTGTTGCCCAGGCCCAGAATGGACTTCCGGAAGCAGCATCCATACAGAGAACCAGTTGCTCACATATTTGAATCCCACCACTGGGTTGGACACCTGTAGAATACTTGCTATATGTGCATGGGGGGGGGGGGAAGCGGGGCAGCATCTACGACTCCCCAGACTGAAGAAGGTTCAACCAGTGACTTCAAGCAGCTGAAAAGTGTCATCTTTTATTTTAAGAACTGGTCTCTAGACTTCTCTTAAATGGCCACGAATTAACTGCCCATCCTAGCATTTCTGGTTTCCTTCTCCCTTATTTGCAACTCTCAGAAAAAATGCTTTGGAATCGGGAATATTCCAATTCCACAACTCTATCTCCCAAGAGGGCATCTTCCGTTTTGTTTGCTCTTACAAAATGTACTCTTTGGTTCTGACTCTGCAAAACCCAAAGTTAAGAATTACAAAGCTTTCCAATTAGAATTGATAGAATGAGGTCATTTAAAAAAAAAAAAACAGACAGCAAAAATAGAGCACTTAACTTTCTCCCTGATAATTTGATCTGAAACACATTAACCAGCCCTGAAGGTGGAGTACTATGATGAACTGCCTTAAAACCTGCTCAACCGAGACTGTACAAAATGTTTGTACAGTGATACAAAAGTTTGACAATGAAACCTGTTCCTTAGGGGCAGGATAGGCACTCTTTCAAAGATGTATTCTCACAACCACCTGATAGGAATGACTTAATTTAGACTCTTGTAACAAGCAAGAACTGATATTCTTTTTGCTTTCTCTTTTTTTATTTTTTTTTATTTTATTTTTAACCAACAAAACAAAACAAAACATAACACACATACATATGCAGTATATACTCCTTCCCCTTTTTTTAAACAGCGATTACGTAACGGTAATCTTCTATTATTTACATTTCCCCCTATTCTTCTTTAGAATATTTGTCCTTATTGCCCCGTTGTTTCTTATTTACATTTTTCTTCCTTCATATTCTACTTCTTACTAAGAATAATTCATATTATTATTATTATATATTATTATACACATATTTTCACTTTTGATCTTTCCATATTTATTCTCCTCTATTATTTCTAGTCTCCAACCAGTCATACCACTTGTTCCATGTTATATAGTACTCTGTGTCTTCCTTTTCTTTTATCTCTTTTGTTAATTTGTCCGTCTCAGCACAGTCCAGGATTTTTCTTATCATTTCTTCCTCTGATGGTATATTCTCATTTTTCCAGCACTGTGCATACGCTAATCTTGCCGCCGTTATTATATGTAAAATTAAGTACCATATTTCTTTACTATATTTTCTGTTTAAAATACCCAGCAAAAAGATCTCTGGTTTCCAGTCTAAGGGTTGGTCTATTATTTCTTCGATCCATCTTCTTATTGTAGTCCAGTATTTTTTCCCAACTGGGCATGTCCACCATAAATGATAATATGTTCCATGTACTTTTTTACATTTCCAGCATGTTGGCGAATTGTTCTGGAACATCTGGCAAACTTTGCTGGTGGAAGATGCCATCTGTAAAACATCTTCAATTTGTTTTCCTTGAATGCCGCCGACATAGTCAATTTTATATTTATTTCCTATATTTTTTTCCCATTTCTCCAATTCTATATTATATCCAAATTTTTTTGCCAATCTAATCATGATATTCTTAACTGTCTCAACCAGTGGTGGGATTCAAATATGTGAACCACCGGTTCTCTGTGTGGATGCTGCTTCCAGAAGTCCATTCTGAGCCTGGGCAACAAAAAAAATCAGCTACCAGTTCTGCCAGACTGGTGTGAACTGGCTGAATACCATCACTGGTCTCAACTGATTTTATAATTTCATGACATATTGTCAGTCCAACCAGGTAGATTGGATAGATCAGAGCAGGAACTCAACTTTACAAGAAGACTAAAGTTACTTTGACTGAGATTGACTATCATCACAGAATCTTGCCAGCCCAATTGTGCTCTACCTTCTCCTCCTCCTTAGTGTTCAGAAAATTAGGAAGGCATCTACTTGAGCCATCTTCTGGATTTTTTTAAAAAAATATATAGTTCATTCCTCTTGTCTAGGCAACAGATCCTGTGTATATTTCTGACAAGGCCATCTTCTTTACCCTCTACTTCTGCTGATACCTGCGAAGTAACAGCCAGATGCTGGAAGAGCAAGCTATATACTAATAGAAGCTTAGTAATGAGATGTCTGCAAGAAAACAATCAAGCTCAGAGAGCATCAAGGACACCAAAGTTGTCTCCTTCTCCTCCTCCTTCTCCTCTTCCTCCCATTCTCCTTCTTTTCTACACAGCAAACCCATCCCTTCTGTCATGATGATATTACATAGTTCAATAATGAAACGTCTGCAAGAAAGCAATCAAGCTCAGAGAGCACCAAAAATCCCACAATTGTCTCCTCCTCCTCCTCCTCCACTCTGCAAAACCCAACCCCTTCTGTCACTGATGCTGTTACCTAGTTGGGTAATAAAATATCTGCAAGAAAACATCCAAGCTTAGAAAGCACCAAGGACTCCACAGAAAGTTATTGTGCCATGTGGCACTTCTCAAACAATGCCAGTCTCGTACATTCATCACAAGCTGAAGAATCTCACGGTTCTACTGCTGCTACTACTACTGCTGCTGCTGCTGCTGCTGCTGCTGCTGCTGCTGCCGCTACTACTACTACAATAACAACAGCAACAACAGCAACAGCAACAGCAACAACAATAATAATAATATAGAGTTGGAAGGGACCTTGGAGGTCTTCTAGTCCAACTCCCTGCTCAGGCAGGAAACTCTACACCATTTCAGACAAATGGCTGTCTAATCTCTTCTTAAAAACTTCCAGTGTTGAAGCATTCACAACTTCTGGAAGCAAGTAGTTCCATTGATTCATTGTTCTCAGTGTGAGGAAATTTCTCCTTAGTTCCAGGTTGCTTTTCTCTTTGGTTAGTTTCCATCCATTGCTTCTTGTCTTGCCTTCTGGTGCTTTGGAGAATAGCTTGACTCCCTCTTCTTTGGGGCAGCCCCTGAGATATTGGAACTCTGCTATCATGTCCCCCCTCATCCTTCTCTTCATTAGACTAGACATACCCAATTCCAGCAACTGTTCTTTGTATGTTTTAGCCTCCAGTCCCCTGATCATCTTTGTTGCTCTTCTCTGTACTCTTTCTAGAGTCTCAACATCTTTTTTACATTGTGGTGACCAAAACTGGATGCAGTACTGTATTCCAAGATGAAACAGACCTTCCAAGCCTGAATCCTCCTTCGTGCAATCTACTCACCAGTCAGAACCTTGAGAAAGGTCAACAGAAGTCAGGTGGGAGAGCAGGAGATGTTCTAGAATGTTATTAATGAATCCAGAGTGGCAGTTGAGTCAGGCAGTTGCAGAGACAGAGGCTGCACCATTTTGGAAGATCAGACAAAATACTTTCAGGTGGAAGCGAATTGAAGGAGTAGCAACGTGAAGGGAGAGGAGGACCTCATATATTCAATCTGTCAGTCATCTCTTGGGAGGCAGTAGCTCATGCAGAAAAGAATTAAGCAGTGCAGTCACTATATAGATGGGTGAAACCAGGCTTTATCCATAGGAGGAGTGGAGTTCTCAGATTTGTGATGTTGACTCGGGGGTTTGAGAATATCTGCATAGCGTTCTACTGAACCTTTATCCCGCTGGCCAATCCTTTACAATAAGCAACCAAAAAAGGCTACTGAGAGATTTTTCTTCATCTCAGAGTTGGTTGTGGACAGGAACTCATTTCAAAAGAGGGCAGACTTGCAAAAGGCAACGTTTTGATGTGAGATAAGGGTTTATTATCTATAACATTCATCTTCAGCTTCCTCTCTACATCCATACATTCTCCTTTCCATTTCAAATTCCTGTCATCTCAGCAAGTTGGGCAGAATAGCAAATGCTTTGGTTGAAAATCTATTCTTTCGTCCTAACATTAGCTCCAGGTTTAGGGGTCTTCACCAGCCCTTAGATTTATAGCTATTTCCCCCTTTTTGCTTGCTTGCTTCTGAACATGTCCGAAGACAAGGTCCCATCCTTTTGCCTCTAGAAAATGGCAAGATCTTCTCCCAGAACGAGTGGATCAGTATGATGCAGAACAATACATTCAACATCCCAACCTTTAAGCATATTTTCTATCAAAGGGAATGAGAACTGATAGGAACAAATGTATTTTGTTGTCACTAGATATAGATGCAAAACAGGAGTTTGTGCCTGAAAGTCCCATCAAACTCTTGGCCTAGTTAGAACCTTTTGATTTAAGCTGTTCTTTAGAAGAGGAACATATGCAGAGTTGGGGAAGAGATGACTAAGAAAGACAAGAAGGCCACACAAAACAAGGGGACAGGCTTGTTTGGGCTTTCATTAAGTTATGGACTCTGGGTGCCTAGTTGCTTTGGTCTTGAAAAGAAGAGGATGGTTGTCAAATAGACTCAATCAACTATGCCCTATTGATAAATATTTGGGATCCTTCTATTTTGGCTACTGAAAAATTGACTTAATGCCTCCAAAATTAAAATGGCTTTGCAAAAATGACCTATGCCAGGTATATTTGCCTTCATCATTGACTGTTAATCTTCTGACTCCAAGCCTTCCAGCTTTTAATTTTTTTTTCTTTTTACCAAAAGGAAAACGAAAAGAAATGGCTGTTCAGAATTAACCACCTTCTCTCTTTTTTTTCCCCATAAAAGAAAAAGATGGCTAGGAACAGCAAGCTGTGGTACCTTCAGGATGACAATATGATGTTGGGACATTATCTGCCTCCCACTGATGTGAACAATACAAATATTGAAAAGACCTTCTACCAGAAATATTCACGAAGCTTAAAAACCATGATTCCGATCCGCTTAAGAGCAAGGCAAGTTGCACGTTCTCATACTCAGAATATAGCACTGAATAGTATCTCTGTGATTGGCACCTCAACTCCTGAACGAGTCAATCATCTAATTTATGAAAATCAGAGCCCTGGTTTTAGTTATTCCCATACACTGAGATAGTAGATAGTAGATAGGCAGAGTACTTAAATTACCCTCAACAACTGACATACAGTTCTTGAAAAACATCACAGGTGATCAACCTGCAAGCAAGGGGATCACAATTCTGGATTTAATTTCACTGGCCCTTGACTAATTTCAAATCTGCTTCAAATTTAGATTTGTAAGAAGGGCGATCTGCCGGTTCCTCGGGGAACCGACGAGGCAGAAGGATGAGAAGATAGAGAGGCAATAAAAAGGTCTATCAAAGATGGAGAAGGAAAGGTCACAAAAGGGGATCGCATGACACTGCATCCGTCATAAATATGAGTCAGTTGCCCGCTGTCTGAATTTTGATCATGCGATCACAGAGATGCTGCAATGGTCATAAGCATGAAAAATGGTCATACGTCACTTTTTTTCAGTGCCGTTGTAACTTCAAACAGTCACTAAATGCACGGTTGTAAGTCAAGGACAATGTACCTGTAACTTTTAAAAAAAAAAAAATCCCCCCCCCCCGTTTTCTCGGGCGTTCCCCATTCGCCAAGCCAGCTTTACATTCCTCACACAGTTTTACACTTCCCGTGGAAATTAAATGATTGGCAAGCACCGGAGAACTGTTGAGAAATAAAAGCTGGAGTGAATTAAAACGGGCCTCTGCCATTTTCGCCACTGAAAAGACAACCAGGCAGGTTGACTTCCTGGAGACAGCTATTCAATATCCAGTGAAAAGGTTAGAGAATGCTTGCTCGAAGGCTGTGGTTGCCAGGGATGAGGAAAAGGTCTCGCCAATGAATAAGTGCCAGTCAAAGAGATGAGGAGGAGAAGGACTGAGCAGGCAACGGTCCAAGGCAGAAGGCAGCTTTTGATGCCTGTAACATCTTCCCCTTCTCTCCGACTGCTGATCCCTTCTTTCTGTCTGACTTACAGGTCTGCCAAGAATCCCGTGGACAGTGCTGGACTTTTCTCATTTGCGACCTATTCTTGGTATTCCGATATAATGCTCCAAGGATACCGGCACAAAATCAATATAGATACTTTGCCTCCTCTCTCCTACTACGATAGTGCCGAACCGAATGCCAAAAGGTACGGCTGTTCTGATGCCGTTATTATTTCAAAATCCCTCTCGACCCACCCACCCCAATCTTCCTGGAGAGCAGGAGGTGGCCCTCGTTTGCATTCGTTGAACTTTGATGATAATAAACCTAATAAGGCGGTTGTTTGTAAGAAAATAACAGGGCTGGAGGCGTCCTGCTACTCCTTTCCTAAAAGGAGAAGGAAAACAGGGCAGTGGGCCAAGCAAGACCCTGTAATTTCTACAAGATTTCGGCTGCAGGTGGAAAGTGATTGTCCTGACGTAAGTCTTCTTTGCAGACATTCTCTGGGGAAGGTGTGCATTAAGAAGAGATGGGACAACCCTTTGTCTGAAATGGTGTAGGACAGTGGTTCTCAACCTGTGGGTCGGGACCCCATTTGGGGCTGAACGACCATTTCACGGGGGTCGCCAAACAACGCAGTCCGCCATTTTTCCCCCCTTTTCCTTAGCTGTGCTGCTCCCTTTTATTCTATTGGCTTTTGAAAGCCAATAGAATAGGCTCTCTTGAATAGAGTCTAATTCTATTGGCTTTCAAAAGCCAATAGGAATTGTCCAGGCTGTCTCTACCCTGCTGAGCCCGCCAAAAGTCCCATTCTGCAAACGGTGCTGCACCAGTTGAGTAGTCCTCGACTTACGACCGGTTGGGGGTCGCGGCATTAAAAGAGTTGAGAACCACTGGTGTAGGGTTTTCCTGCCTGAGCAGGGGGTTGGACTAGATGACCTCCAAGGTCTCTCCCAACTCTGTTATTCACTGCAAAGTGTAAGACCAGTGAAATAATAAGCAGTGGAGTATTAAAAAACCCAACTTTCAGATAAGGCATTGGCAAAGCCTTGACTGATGCTTATCCAATTCTAGACTTATTCAAGTCTGCTTAAAGCAAGATACCCCATTATAACTTCTCAGTTTTTTATCTTCTGTAATAATGAATTGACACCAGTGGTTTTCAGAAGCGCGGGCATTGGAAGAAATATGTAACATGAGTCGTTTGCTTTTTTTTTCTTTTCTTTTACAGATTTCGACTCCTTTGGGAAGCTGAGGTTGCCAAAGTCGGACTTGAGAAAGCTTCTTTAGGCAAAGTGTTCTTTCAATTTCAAAGGACAAGGATTTTCATGGACATAATTGCTAATATTTTTTATGCCATTTTTGGTGTTTTGGGGCCAGTGAGTAACCTGGAAGTACATGTTGAGAGCTGACACAGATAACCTTTCACCATATTTGAGCAGAGAATTTGATGGGGGTGATTTCTCAAAATTTCTCCAGGGGGAAGGAGGACATTTCAAACCCTTGTTTGAGGCAGAACGTTTGATAAATCCACCCCCTCAGTCGAAAGGCTACCCTGGAGTGTTTTCTGACCTTCTTCTTTGGGATGGAAAGAATATGGAGGAAGCCAGAGAGGGCGTGATGGGGCAACTTGGGAGGGCCAACTCGCCACGGCCAACTTGCCATGCCGACTTGGTGTGGCCAACTCAAAGAGGGACAATTCAACAATTAAATTTCAGTATTTAAAATAATTTTTAAAAACCACTTTTGTCATTCACATTTCATTTTGTCCCTCCTTTTCCAGCCTTTCTTTAATTATTCTATTCCACCGTTTCTTCAATAAGAGTGTAACTCTTGTCCTGCAGCAAGTCCATGGTGAATTGGCCATGGAGAGAGAGAGAGAGAGAGAGAGAGAGAGAGAGAGAGAGAGAGAGAGAGAGAGAGAGAGAGAGAGAGAGAGAGAGAGAGAGAGAGAGAGAGTTGTCTCTAAGATGAGAGAGAAAGAAGGATAGAGAGGAGAGAGACAGAGAAAGAAGAAAGAAGAGAGAGGAGTGAGAGAGAAGAGAAGTGTCTCTAAGAGGAGAGAGAAAGAGAGAAAAAAGAGAGAAGAGAGGGAAGAGAGAGGAGAAAGTTGTCTCTAAGAGGAGAGAGAGAGAGAGAAGAGACAGAAAGAAGAGAGAAGAGAGAGAAAAGAGAGGAGAGAGGTGTCTCTAAGAGGACAGAGAAAGAAAGAGAGAGAGAAGAAAGAGAGAGACAGAGACACAGAGAGAAAGAGAGACAGACAGAGAGAGACAGAGAGACAGAAAGAGAGAGACAGAGAGGGAGAGAGACAGACAGAGAGAGAGACAGAGAGGGAGAGAGAGAGAGAGAGAGAGAGACAGAGACAGAGAGAGAGAGACAGAGGGAGAGAGAGAGAGAGAAAGAGAGAGAAGCAGAGAGAGCGAGAGAGAGAGAAAGAGACAGAGAGAGAGAGAGACAGAGAGAGAAAGAAAGAGAGAGACAGAGACAAAGACACAGAGACAGAGACAGAGAGAGGGAGAGAGACAGAGAGAGAGAGAAAGAGAGAGAGAGACAGAGACAGAGACATAGAGAGAGACAGAGAGAGAGAGAAAGAGAGAGACAGAGACAGAGAGACAGACAGAGAGAGAAAAAGAGAGACAGAGAGAAAGAGAGACAGACAGAGAGACAGACACAGAGAGACACAGAGAGACACAGAGAGGGAGAGAGAGAGAGACAGAGACAGAGAGAGAGAAAGAGAGACAGAGAGAAAGAGAGACAGACAGAGAGGGACAGACACAGAGAGACAGAGAGAGAGACAGAGAGACAGAGACAGAGACAGAGAGTGACACAGAGGGAGAGAGACACAGAGAGAGACAGAGAGAGAGACAGAGAGAAAGAGAGAGACAGAGAGAAAGAGAGAGAGAGAGAGAGAGACAGAGAGACAGAGAGAGAGAGAGAGAGAGAGAGAGAGAGAGAGACAGAGAGAGACAGAGAGAGAGAGAGAGAAACAGAGAGAGAGAAAGAGAGAGAGAGAGAAAGAAAAAGAGAGAGAGGCAGTATTGAATTATATCAACCACTTAAAAATATATATCAACTTAACAATACACATTTCCCCCCCCCAAAAAAATATTTTTATGGTTTTGTTTGTTTTTGCAGACCCTGATCTTCCATAACATCCTCCAGTACAGTGACAAAGATTCAAAGGACTTGGTGGAGGGTGTGGGCCTCTGCATGGCTCTTTTTTTCACTGAATTTTCAAAAGTTGTGTTGTGGTCATTGACATGGGCTATCAACTATCGCACGGCTGTCAGGGTAAAAGTTGCCGTGACAACTGTTGCTTTTGAGAACCTGCTAGCTTGTAAGTCCTTGAAACACACATCTTTAGGCACAGTAAGTCTTTGAGATCGCACCCTCATCTGATTTCCTAGAAATATTTAATTTGCAAAATGTACTCAGTGGCTGGTTTTCTGCAGGAGATGTTATGAGCTTCTGATTAATGGCTGGAGCCAACAATGATTGCTAATCATGATACAATGCGGTATCTTTAGAATCTAACGTAAGAAATAACAGCTAAAGAGGACAATGCAATGGCCTTTTACAGCTTCCCAACATCTTCTTGGTTATTGTGCAGAACTAAAAATGATGGACTAGAAAGCCTTTTGTTGTGATCCTCCAGGACTCTTAATGTTCTCATGATATCTCCATTTTTTATATTAAGCTAGGAGAACTTCTCTAAGTAGCCACATATGTGTGTGAATACTGCAAGCTCACAGAGAAGGACAAGATAAAACCTGCAACTGTTTAGTACTTGGGATTTCATGTCCCCTTTGACATGTTAACAATTCCTGTAAATCCACAATTGCTTCATTTTTATAAATAGAACAAACCAAATCCAGGTTACTAATTGAATTATTCCAGATGAAATTAACCTAGAGCTAAGCCCTTAATCCCATATTCCATTGATTTCAATAACAATAGAATAGAAGAATATCCTTTGTTGGAATATTCTTCATTGGCCAAGTGTGAGAAATTTGTCTCTGGTGCATAAACTCTCAGTGTACATACAACAACAAAGTAATAAATCATAAGATACCAACAGGAGAAGGTAATAGGAAAAATGAGAAGGATAATAGCAGGGGTCTTCAAACTTGGCCCTTTTATGACTTGTGGACGTCAACTCCCAGAATTCCTCAGCCAGGCACGTGTGACTGGCTGAGGAATTCTGGGAGTTGACGTCCACAAGTCATAAAAGGGCCAAGTCTGAAGACCCCTGATAATAGTAGTTCTAGTAATTATCGTCATATTATTTTCATATCACTTATTGTTATATTCTCATTATATTATTGTCACGTAGCAATTGTCACATATTCTATTCTATTCTATTCTATTCTATTCTATTCTATTCTATTCTATTCTACTCTATGATTCTGTTCTATTCTGTTCCATAATTCTATTCTATTCTATTTTATTCCATTCCATTCCATTCCATTCCATTCCATTCCATTCCATTCCATTCTATTCTATTCTATTCTATTCTATTCTATTCTATTCTATTCTATTCTATTCTATTCTATATTCCTATTCCTATTCCTATTCCTATTCTATTCTATTCTATTCTATTCTATTCTATTCTATTCTATTCTATTCTATTCTGTTGTCTTTAGGTTGACATCCTTGAAGTATGAATTGGCCAGCCTGATCCTGACATTAACTGTGATTGACTGTGATTTGGAAAGCTTTCAATGCAAGATCATTTCTGACCAGTTTCTTCATTGTCTTTCAGTTGATTAATTTCTTAGCCAGTGATGGTTTTCGGATATTCGAAGCTGCCTTGTTTGGCCCAATGCCCATGACCGCACCCCTTTTGATTGTTGTTTGCACCATCTATTCTTGTGCCCTCCTTGGTCCAACGGCACTCATAGGAACATTCATTTATGCCGCATTTATACCATTACAGGTGAAACTTTTTCCATAAATATATGTGTGTGTGTGTGTGTGTGTGTGTGTGTGTGTGTGTGTATGTATAATATAATGTTTTTACTCAGAAGATCTCTTCTACTGTTCTCTCTCTGTGTTATTAAAATAACAAACCACCCCCTCCCATTTTAAGGAAGTTGTTGGTGCAACTAGATGTGTAAAGTGTAAAGTGTTTTGGTTTTAAGCGTTTTGCTTCCTTGCAGAGACCTTGCAGGTTCCTTTCTACTGAGATTTTACTAAAACTCTGGGACTTCTGCAAATTTTATAGACCAAATCCATTGATACTGCTCTATACATGAGCAATGCCAGTGTGAATATTTAAGTAATAATACAGATAGCCCTCTACTTACAACAGTTCTTTTAGTGACCGTTCAAAGTTACTGAACTTTGAAACTGAAAAAAGTAGCTTAGGACCATTTTTTTCACGACTTTTGTAGCTTCCCCATAATCATGTGATCAAAATTCAGATGCTTGGCAAACTGGTTCATATTTATGACTGTTGTTGTGTCTCAAGGTTGTGCGATTCCCCCCCTTTTTTATTGAAAAGTTTTATAAAAATTACAGTATACACCCCAAAACCCACCCACCCTAAACCCCCCCTCCCTCCCCTACTTCCCAGAGCTGAGTACAGGGTTACAAATATAATAATCAAACTCTAACGAACATTAACCAACTATATAAATAACCAAGTCCATAATGCGCTTTAACTCCCCTTTAACATAGATATAAACAAATTAAAAATAAACATAATAATATAAACAAGTCAATACTATTAAACAATACAATATCCAAATTGTTAACAATACTAATACTAAAAATAATAATACAACTAATAAAAATTCTACTATAATAAAGTAATAATAATAATAATACTCTAAAATTTACTCATAAACTAGATGGAATTTTTTAGTCCCATATTTATTCTGAATATAATCTATCCATCTTCTCCAGACCGAAATGTATCTTTCTTGTGAATGATCCTTCAAGTAAGCAGAAATTTTCGCCATTTCTGCTAAATTTGACACTTTAAGCGTCCATTCTTCTATAGTAGGCAAATAATCCTTCTTCCAATATTGCCCTACCAATAACCTTGCAGCTGTTATCAAATTCAACATCAAGTTAATTTCTTTAACATCACAATCTACAATAACACCCAATAAAAATAATTGTGGAGTAAACTTTATCTTTCTCCTAAAAATCTTTTGAATGTTCCACCAAATCTTAATCCAAAAAGCTTTTATATTTCTACAAGTCCACCAGATATGAAAATAAGTAGCATCCAAGCTACCGCATCTCCAACATTTGGGCTATAAATTAGGATCCATACAAGACAACTTTTTAGGATCACAAATGCCATTTGTGATCTTCTGACAAGCGGAGTCAATGGGGGAAGCCAGGTTCACTTAACAACCAGGTTACTTATCAACTGCAGTGATTCGCTTAACCACCAAGGCAAGACAGGTCATAAAATGGGGCAAAACTCACTGAACTGATGTCTCACTTAACAACAGAAATTTTGGGCTCCATTGTGGTCGTAAGTTGAGGACTACCTGTTGTTACAGCTTAAATCTGAACAACAGAAGGGATAGCTATGGTTATGAAGACTGTTTAGTGTCATGGTTCCGACAGATGAAACTCTTCAAAGAACTTTGAGGCATTGTTTACCTTAAAGAATCTTTATTAGAGAACCATAGCATCGGCACTAACACAATCGAAGTCAAAAACTGGATTCCCCTCCCCTGAGCGCATAGTATCAAAGCACAATTCCGTCCTCCAATTAGCAGTCATAAATCGCATTCTCCAATTAGTTTGAAATGCAGGCTTTCCCTCTATTTCTCCAGCCCACCAATTCTTATCATCTCTTATTTCAATAACCTTGATTCACGCACTAGGTCCAGTATTGTTATGTCTGGCTAAACTCTCGTGCACTTTCCTCCCCCCACCCCAGCATCATCTAACTCTAACTCTAAGAGTAAAACATAAGAAGAAAATGGTTGCATCTCCAACTGTTGTCAAAGCAAAACATCCAATGCTAGTAGCATTGACATTTAGTCCTCTGCCATGGGTTTAGCTGTCAGCCATGTATGAAATCTCTTTTCCCTTGCAGATGTTGATGGCCAAATTAACTTCTGTTTTTCGAAGAAGATCTGTTGTGATGACTGACAGACGTGTGCAAATCACGAATGAGATTTTGATGTCCATTAAGCTAATCAAAATGTATGCCTGGGAAAAATCTTTTGCAAAAATTATCACAGGTACCTGGAGTGGGGAGGTGACTACTCTAGTTCTTCCCTGTTTCAGTGGAATGCTTTAACTAGCTCATTCTTACCCCAATTTTTATGATTCACCTCTAATCGAAGGTGCATAGGGTATAATTTGCAAAATTATAGACCATTGTCTAGAAAGATATGTGATTTGTCACTTGGCTCCACGTCATTACAGGATGGATGATGTCTTTTACCTTTTGCAGGCATCAGGGAAACAGAAAGAAGAATACTGGAAAAGGCAGGATATGTCCAAAGCGTGAACTCTGCCCTGACGCCAGTCGTTTCTACTCTAACCATAGTTATGCTGTTTTGCTTCCATACCTTGTTAAAGCGTGAATTATCAGCTGCTGTTGTAAGATGATACTTCTGTTTCTTAGTTGTTCCACTGTCTTTATGATAGCCATCAGTTCCTCACCAAGATAATACCAGAATGTCAGATCAACTTTCCTAGGAATAGAATCAAGATCACATGAAGTGTTAGTGCTGCTTTACAATGCCTTGGTAAGGCCACACTTGGAATGCTGCATCCAGTTTTGGTCTCCACAATATAAAAAATAGAATAGAATAGAGTAGAGCAGAGCAGAGCAGAACAGAACAGAACAGAACAGAATAGAATAGAATAGAATAATGATAGAATAGAATAGAGTAGAGTAGAGTAGAATAGGATAGAATAGAATAGAATAATGATAGAATTTAGAATAGAATAGAATAGAATAGAATAGAATAGAATGGGACCCTGGAGGTCATCTAGCCCAGCCCCCTGCTCAAGCAGGAGCACCTAACACCAGGGATAGGCAACCTTGGCTCTTTTATGACTCGTGGACTTCAACTCCCAGAATGGCTCAGCTTGGAAACCTCTCCCTTTCCCCTCAGCATGGCTGGCTCAGGAATTCTGGGAGTTGAAGTTGACGAGTCATAAAAGAGCCACGGTTGCCTACCCCTGACCTACACTATGTTGAGACTGGAGGTTAAAACATATGAAGAACAGTTGCAGGAACTGGACATGTTTACAACCATTGAAGAATCCTTGTGGTCACGTGATCAAAATTCAGGCACTTGGCAACTGGCTCATAAGTCAATGGAGCAGCCACCTTCCCTTTACAAGCCTGTTACTCAATGAACAACTGGAGCGGCAAGAAAAGTCACGAAATGGAGCCAAACTCAGTTAACCACTGTCTCGCTTAGCTAACCTGGGGCTCGGTTGTGGCTGTGAGTCAAGGACTACCTGCAATATCCTAGTAGTTTTTGCCAATTCCTGCTGACTTCTGAGACTAATTTAAGACTGAATAGCTGGCAGTATGGAGAGTCCTGCACCAAGTTGGGGTAATCTGTGATACCAAATTAGGAAAGAGAAACGTGGGGATTGAAAGTTAGAAACTCTAAAAGTCTGACTCTCCTGGATGTATCCCCCTCCCATCTGATACTCCTTTAATTCCTTCTCTTTTACAGGCCTTCAGTGTGATTTCAGTGTTTAATACCATGAGGTTTTCAATTGCCATTTTGCCATTTTCCGTGAAATCCACGGCAGAAGCCAATGTTGCCTTAAAAAGGCTGAAGGTAAAAAATAGTGGGGTTTGGGGGGGAGGGGAAAAAAAAACTATTACAGATATTTTGGGATATTTAAGCAAGTTCACAAAAAAGAATGCCCTGTGCCAGTTACAGAATACACTAGTTTCCTGCATTAGATCAATGTCCTTTAATCTATTCTTCTTCAGTTCAGAGAATCTCCATAGACGGAACGCCCAAGATTGACAAGATTAGGCTAATGTTTCCATCAAAAATACATTGATATGGCTTAGAATTTGTTTCTTCTCTTGTAGAAAATTCTCACTATGAAAACGCCTTCTGCATATGTGACAACCTTGCAGGGCTCCCTATATGCGGTGGTGCTGAAAGACGTCACCATGTCTTGGGAAAGTGCTTCCAGTGAACACCACACCAAAACTGTTAAAGAAAGACATCTGACTGGGAAAAGGGTCTGCAAATCCCCTCCCAGGGTACACCCAGTCATTTCTGATTCAGAGATATCAATTGTTGACAGGGATATTGACATCAGCTTTGTCCTGCAGAATATAAGTTTTACAGTAGAGAAAGTAAGTACAGGTGTCAGAATCCAATTATACTTCATCTCCGGTTATCAATTATAGAAAACCCCATTTCTGCCCTCTCTGGATTCTGTCATACAAGAAAGGGAAGGGGGTGAACAAAGGGGCTTTATGTCCCTCACTTCCTTCGGTACAACTGCAAAGGGATTGAATGTGGATAGCACCAAAAGGCCTTATTATAACAAAGGAGGCTATTTACCTTTCATGTAGTTTTCTCTGAAGTCTCCATCCAGCCGGCAGAAAGGAAAAGGGGGTGGGATTGTGATGCCTGAAACTGTCACTGGAAGAGGGGGGTGATTGGGTGGGACTACTGGGGAACCCCTTAAAACCTCGAATGGGAGAGCTTGGACCCCAAGTCCTGTCTAGAACGCCTGCAATCATTTTCTCTTAATCAAGGATTCCTGTTGGAAGAATTATTCCAAGAGTTCTATCTTCTTAAGATGCAAAGTGGGGTGGGTCCTTACAACAGGAGAACAATAATATTTAAACCAAAATCAACCTGGTGATAATTTACGTTAAGATGTTAAGATTTGGTCCGGGTATAAACAGCCACAGATCCATAATATAGCCTGCCTTCCATAGAAGACTTGTATATTATGTGGGTTAGAAGGAGGGCTGAGAAATTATCTACAGACCCCTTCACATCCTAGACATAAATTGTTTCAACTTCTCCCCTCGCTCTAGGTCATTGCATGCCAACACAACTAGACACAAAGAGTTTTTTTTTCCCTTGTGCCATCACTCTGCTGAACACCTAATTCCCACAGTATTGTCTTATGTCTATTTACATGTTGTATTGTATTATTATTATTATTCCTTGAGAAGAAAGCTATGGCAAATCTAGACAGCATACTAAAAAGCAGAGGCATCACCCTGCCAACAAAAGTACGTATAGTCAAGGCCATGGTTTTCCCAGTTGCAATGTATGACCATAAGAAAGGCTGAGCGACAAAGAATTGAGGCCTTTGAACTATGGGGCTGGAGAAAACTTCTGCGTGTCCCCTGGAGTGTAAGGCGATCAAACCGGTCAGTCCTAGAGGAGATCAACCCCGACTGCTCTTTAGAAGGCCAGATCTTGAAGTTGAAACTCAAGTACTTTGGCCACCTAATAAGAAGGAAGGACTCACTGGAGAAGAGCCTGATGCTGGGAAAGATGGAGGGCAAGAGAAGAAGGGGACGACAGAGAAGGAGGTGGCTGGATGGAGTCACTGAAGCAGTAGGAGTGAGCTTAAATGGACTCCAGAAGATGGTAGAGGACAGGAAGGCCTGGAGGATCATCATCATCATCATCATCATTATTATCCTTCTCCTTTTCTCTACTACCCTGTCTTATTGGTATCATTATTAAGATTATTACTCTGTTGTTTTGCATGTACACAGACAGCTTCTGCACCAGAGATAAATTCCTTGTGTGTCAAATGACACTTGGCCAAATAAAATATTCTAATTCTAAAGTATTCTAATTCTATTGCCATGTGTAAATTATACTCATTTTTTTTCCTTCCCAGGGCAAAGTTTTGGGGATTTGTGGCAATGTGGGAAGCGGAAAGACTTCACTCCTCAAAGCAGTATTAGGACAAGTATGTAAATGTCTACAACTTTCTCAGTTCATCTCTAATGCAATATTTTACGATATTTTACAATAACATGGCTCTTTTCCTTTACTATGCTATGCTGATCAAGTCAAAACTTCAGTATTCTGTGATGGCCAAAGGTAGACCCATAGAACATGAACTATACATCACTCTGTTAATATGTTGAACTTCTCAGCTCTTATGGCTAGTGCATGCCAACATTAGGGTGTTGGTTGCAGGTGTTTTACTATTTGTTTAAACCAGGGGTCTTCAAATTTGGCAACTTTAAGGCTTGTGGACTTCAATTCCCAGAATTCCTCAGCCAGCCAGGAATTCTGGGAGTTGAAGTCTACAAGTCTTAAAGTTGCCGAGTTTGAAGACCCCTGGTTTAAACAGAGGAAGCAGATCTGAAAATTTATGCATTTGCTCTCTAAATCTGTATACAAATTGCATTTCGGTGCATTAAAATGTCCAGGATGGAGCCTTGAGCCATTTAGAAAAATGGCTACTCCAATGGATGGTCAATCTTCAGGTTGCATATAAATATAACAGGTCCTGATCAGACAGTATTTGCAAAGATCAGGTTTCGTAAGATGTAGAAAAGTTTGTAGAATTAAACGTTTATTTAATTGCGAACTGTGGGAGGGAATTGCGCTGCACAGGCTAAATCAAGGTGCAGAAAATTCAATCTCTACATTTATTCTTGGTGTAGGAGACACAATAAAATCTTTCCCCAATTGTAATACAAAAACTACAATAAGAACAAAGAAATAATCACTTCCACTTCATTACATAAGGCCCAAATTTAGAGACTGGAATTAATGTCTCATTTGGCCTGGATGGGAGGGCTGGTTTTGTTATGCAGATCTTTCCCTAACTTTCCATTATTTTCAAGTTCTCCATCAGAAGCAAAACAGGTATCTAAGAACTGTGATTTAGGATACATGGATTAACAGATAACAGGAAAAGCCACTGAAGCAGATTTGGCATCCAACTATTCCTTCTATCCACTCCAGATGTATCTGTATCGTGGGAAGGTCGTTGTGAATGGCACTTTGGCATACATGTCACAGCAAGCGTGGATATTTCACGGAAGTGTCAGGGATAATATACTGTTTGGAGAAGACTATGATGAACAAAGGTAACTATAAAAAAAATAAAAATAAAGATTTCCCCTGTCCAGTCATGTCCGAGTCTAGCAATTGCTCATCTCCTTTTCTTAACCAAGGGAGTTAGCATTATATGAAGATTTTTCCGTGGTCACATGGCCAGCATGACTATAAGCTGAAGGCGCACAGAACTCTGTAACCTTCCCGCCAAAGTGGTACCTATTTATCTACTTGCATCTGTATGTTTTTGAACTGCTAAGTTGGCAGGAACTGAGGCAAGTAACGGGCGCTCATTCCATTGTGTAGATCTCAGGTCTCAGGCTATCTAGCTGACAAGCTGAGCATCTTTATCTGCTGAGCCCTCATGCAAAGATAATTATAAATTTAAGGGGAAGGTTCCCGATCTTTCAGAATTATTCCACTGCCTTTGCTGATCCTTGGCTCTGTTCTTTTTTCCTTTAAAAAAAAAAGAATTCAGTCTTTAATCCTTTTATTTTTAGCTCTATAAAGGAAAGGGCAAGCATTTTATTTGATTAAATGCTAGGATGTTGTACTATTAAATAACTGTTATCAGATGTGTTTATGGAAACACCTACGTATTTCTCTTGGCATATTTATAAGAAATGCCCTGGGGACGGAAAATGAAAATAACAAAATGAAATTCTCAAAACTGTAACTCAAATTTTAAAAAAAGCACATTAAACCAAACCACAACTGCTCGATTTGAGATGAAACGGTGGCATAAAATGTCAGCTACGTTAAAGGTTCTCAGAGGCTAACATTGCCAGAGGACGTCTGCAGGCAAGGCATCACAAATGAAAGACTGTGTCTTTCTGAGCCATCTTACCTGAGTGAGGGATGGGAACTGAAGTGAGGCTTCAGAAGTTGACCTGAATGTGTGAAGAAGTTCATTTGAGGATGGAGACGCTATTTGTAGTCTGGTCCTTCCAAAAGCCTATTACAAAATAATGTGGCATCTAGAAGGTCCTAGTTCAGTTGCTTCATCTCCTGGAAGGGCTGGAAGAATCTATTGTCAACCAACACAAACAATTGTGGATGATCTGACTGAAAAAGCTTCCAACCTGATATTGTAGCTTCATATAAACAATGCAAGGGTGAGATCAAGGAGTGAAACCATCCCTTAAGCTTCATAGAACTAATCTGTCTGTTGCAAGAGAACGCAGAACATAATAAAGTAGTAAACTTGAATTCTACATGTGTGGACCTGGTTGCTTCTGCCTGTATTTTTAACACAGAGGTGGTGACAAGACAAATTAATTTAAATGGATTTAATTGAAATGTACTTGAAATTTTAGTAAAGAGTGAGGTAATTAAGTACAGTTAACCTTAATGCTCCCCATATTTAATGTTCTTTTTAAATGTGTCAAGTCCAAGCTTACAATTTGCTAGACCATTTTAGGAGGTTTTTGAGGGCTTCACCCAAGGATTCTGAGGGCCACAGGCAGGTCCTCAGCTGAACAACCTACAGTAGAATAATCAAGATAAGAAATGTCTTAGCTTCTCATTTTCAAATAAGAGTTTATGTATTCCCCACAGCAAGTTCTTTGCTTTTAATGAAAATAAGGAAGCTGTTCTTTCTTATTAGTTTTCTAAATATTATACCCGACCAGTGTACTCAGCTGTGCGAGTAAATGATTGCTAAATATCACTTCTGTCATTTCCTCAAATTATATTGGAGTGGATTAAAAAGAAAAAGAAAAGAAAAGAAAGGAAGAAAAGTTTATTCCATCTTAGCGGGAACAAACAAACAAACAAACAAATGCAGCTCCTAAGAACTTATTTTCAACACATCTTCAAAATGGCTCCTGGGAATATTACTAGCATGTCACGAGCCATTAGATGCTGCAGGGGGGCATTAAGCTTTGCTGAAATGATATGAAATAAAAAAAAAGAACCTTCAGTTCAAATATGACATAGAATATCTAAGGGTAAAATAATTGACAAGACCCAGTTATTTGAGTGCCTTCTTTGTTTGAGTCATTTCCATCTCAGCTGGTTATTGTAGGAGCTCTACAACTTGGAAAAAAAAATAGTGAAGAGATGCTGTCTAAGGAACAGAGAGAGAAGAGGAAGCACAACCCACAGCTGCATAATGGGTGGAACAGGAGGCCTATGAGGGATCCTTAATGCTACCTCAGTACTTGTCTTTAATTGGTTCCAAGAGGCATGATAAGTACCCAAAAGGAGTACCAAACAATTTTTTCACACAAGGAATAATGTAAATAAACTTAATGTGTTCCTAAACCAAAGACAATGCACATTTTTTAAGGCAATATATAAAAAGATAGGGTTGTATATCATTATTTTGCATGAGAAACAATCCTAAAAATTAATACATACTTAGATTAGATACAATAAATAAAATACCTGTACTGATGAGAAAAAAAAAACCACACAAAAATACACAAAGTGACCACAGAAGATAAGATTGCAAAGGGATGTGCCCAGAGCAAGAGTTATCATGTGACTATTGTGGCACCCTAACCCCAACCTTTTGGGCACTAGGGACCGGTTCCATGGAGAGAGGTTTTTCTGAGGACCGGAGGGTGTGTGGTTTTGTGTGCTGCCTGCATCTCGCGGATGGGGCTTTGCTTGTTTGTGCGGACTGGTTGCTGTCATGCCACGCCCCAACACTGGTCCACAGACCAGGAGTTGGAGACCCCTGCCTTAACCCTTCAGTTGGAAAGGGCAGCAAGTCATGAGACAAACAACATCAACAAGTTCTAGCTTGCATGTTGAGTACCAAATGAACAATGAATACCGGGACAAAATTTTCATGTCAAAATACGTTGAGTACCAAATCTGATGAGTTTCAAAGCAGTTGAGTACCAAGGTACCTCTGTAGCAGGCTATAAAGTTGATGGTGGGGAAAATTGTACTTTCAAACTTGCAAGGGTCTATTAATGCAGCTTTACAATAAAATAGAATGAGATTATTTGGTCATGCTTCCTGTCTGGTCTAGCTGCTAAGACTGACATTGAGTCAAGACTGGAGAACCGGCAATATTCAACACTGAGGGAGTCTTCTCCAATAATAATCCCAGTAATGCTACAAGGCTCATTTACAGAAATATGAAAGAAATTTTCTGAGAATCATTGCTTGCAGCTCAGTTCAGTTTTAATATTTTTAGGTATAATCATATCATCAACATTTGCAGTCTCAAGACAGATATGGAACGTTTATCCTATGGAGATATGACCGAAGTAAGTATAATGTGTGTTTATTTAATTTAAGGACGCTAAATTAAACTGCCAACTTACTCTTGTTTATTCTGTGTATTTATATCTCATCTCGTGGAAACATAGATGGAGAGCTCCCCAGATTTTATATATGTGATAACTCAGTAAGGAATGATGGATGGAGAGAGAATAATGGACCTCAAATCACCTACTGAGTTTCTTGGTTAATTGGTTAATCAATGACAGCATTATATTTGTTTTTGCAGGAAAGAAAATACATTATTGGGCCTATAGCTAATTGGCCAAACTAGCCTTAGATATTCTTCCTAGTATAAAGGGTAGGAAATTCCAACTATAATGTTAATTCATGTTAAACATCTTCAGATGTTACATCAGATTTGTGAAACAGTGATACAAATGGATTTTCTATACTTTGTAATAAGGTGTGACATGATTTTGATTTCAGGGCTGCTACAGATTTAGACTTAGTTTCAGAATATATTAAGCCATTATTGGCTTACTCGTGGCTTGTTGGATAAGCCACACTATATTGTGCACAAGCTACTAAGCCACAAAGCATGGCTAATACACCCCTGGCTTCAAATAACCCAATAGGCTAAGTAAACTGGGATTGGATCCTACTTGTTATGGGAATTCATTTACTATCAGCCTGTAAATAACAGATAGGCCAAGATGTTAAACCAATTGTGTTTAGTTTTGATTTAATTTTTAATTTAGTTTTGATATGTTTCATAAACTCAGCATTTGCCATTATACGTTGAGCCTAAACTGGGCCATAGTGTGTTTTTATCTCTAAAGGGCTAGTGGATCTGAAGGAGAAAAAAAAAAAAAACCTTGCTTTACATATTCCTATTTTATTATCTGAGCAATTTGCTGTATTTTCCTGGAAATGACTGGAATACAAGCACGTGTGAGCTCCAAAGGAGGGTGGGGGGGAAATCTATTCTAACAAGGTTTGGCAATTTGTCCCTCCAAGCTATCTTGTCAATTTACATTTTCATTCTAGGCACCCTGGCTTGCAACATTATCAAGCTTGGGACTCATGGTTTTGAAATAGCTTTGTTCTGGGTACCCTACTCAACATCTGTGGATGTTGTGAAAATGGCATTATGGCCTCACTGGAATTCATATAGCTGTTGTTGATTTCTGAGTTTCTGACACACTCATGGTCTCCCAGGAGAAAAATCTTGAACATATCTTTTAGGAATTTCCTGTAAGCACATATACCATATAAATGGTTGCTGCTGTAAATAAAATACCTGGTGAGGGGCCAGGATCATGGTTAGTTATGGGGTGGGCCGGAACCACACAGAAACAGGAGGTCCTACATAATCCACAGCCCCAACCCTGGAACTAATATTACCTCACCATAACATGTTCCCAAAATGAAAGAGGTAGATTCTTCTACCTTTAAACCAAATCTCTAAGTCAAATCAGCCACTCTGCATCTGCTCTTGGAAAAATTAAACAAAAGAGAGAGATTCAGACAAACTGGCAAAAGATTAGAGGTCAAGAAAATCTCATAATTTGTCAGCCCTTTGAGGTCACTTTTATGTATTCGGTTCTTAGGCATTAGACAAAGACACATGATGAAGAAGCAATCTCTTTACTGATCTTCTCCTTACAACCAAGCAATAGCTAAAAAGCACGCAGGCCTTTTATAGAGTCCTGAACCTGAACAGCGTCAGCCAAGAGGAAGCTGGCTGTTTTCGTGCCTTGCGCATGTGCGCAAGGCTGGAGATAGCCAGTCTGGTCCCGGGCAGCTTTTGGTCTGCCCGGGACCGTTTGCAACATTTCTGAGCCTGTTCACTACTTCGGCAGGCTCAGGACACAACAGTCACCTAAGTCAGAAAATAGATGCCACCAGGACTGCTGTAAACTATTGTTGAGGAGTTAAGAGCCGAGGTGGCGCAGCAGTTAGAGTGCAGTACTGCAGGCCACTTTAGCTGACTATGTTCAGCAGGTCAGCGGTTCAAATCTCACCAGCTCAAGGTTGACTCAGCCTTCCATCCTTCCGGGGTAGGTAAAATGAGGACCCAGATTGTTGGGGGCAATGTAAATATATATACATTGCTTACTGGTGTACACCGCTTAGAGAGTGCTTGCACTTAAAGCGGTATATAAGTCTAATAAATAAATAAATAAATAAATAAATAAATAAATAAATAAATAAATAAAGTAAAAGAACTTGACTGATTTTCTGCTCCATCGAATACCAAAGAGACTCAAGATGGGACAATCTTGAGTTTCTTTCTCAGTCTCTCCTCTCTTGCGGGGCTAAGATAATGCTTGCGTATACGTGGTAGAGTGCCTTATTCAAGGCACTTCCACATTCCTCTATATGTAATTCAGACAGGAGTCAACCCCAAGTCTTTAGAGGAAGCGATAGGAAGGGAGGGTAGTATGATTGAAGCCCCATCATCAACAAGCCAGTCATAGTTGTGTGATAGATCTATGGTTGTGGACGTCATCTTAATTTTTTTTTAATTTCTCTCCCCTCTTCATGCATGGATGTCCCTGTTCTCTTCATAAATTATCAGTACTTGGGGCCTAACATTCTTCCTTTTGCGTGCTGAGATTTCTCTCTCTTTCTGCAGAATGTAGATAGTCCTCGACTTACGATCACAACTGAGCCCTGAATTTATGTTGCTAAATGAGAAATTTGTTAAGTGAGTTTCGTCCCGTTTGATGACTTTTCTTGCCCACATTTGCTAAGTTACTAAAAAGGACATTATGGTCTACAGAATAAGGAATCAATAATCTGAACATTTCTCATAAATGGAGGAAAATTTCATAGCCTGACAGTAACATGCAATGTTCACATTCTAATAAAGCTAGAAACCTTTTATTAAACAGTTATATAAGTATTATATATATGAGTTTGTTCGATGCATCCATTCTGTTTTTTTTTTTTTTTTAAAGATAGGAGAAGGGGGTGTGACCCTCTCGGGAGGTCAAAAGCAGAGAATCACTTTGGCTCGGGCGGTGTATGCAAACCGAGATATTTATTTATTGGACGATCCTTTGTCCGCCGTGGATGCTCAAGTTGGAAGCTATATTTTTGAAGAATGCATTAAAAAAGCTCTTAAGGGGAAAACCCTCCTTCTGGTGTCTCATCAGCTGCAGGTAAATGAATTGCTGAAAGAAATGGGAAAGAACTTTATAGGGCAGTGATGGCGAAACTTTTAGAGACCGAGTGCCCAAACTGTAACCCAAAACCCACTTATTTATCACCGGGTGCCAGGTGGGCATGGCTGTGGTGGTCATGGCAGACTGGGTGGGTGAGGCCAAGCTGGGCGTGGTCACCTCTATGTTGCTCATGGGGAGGGACACCTGTGGGGGCCGGGCAGGGTTGGGGAGAGATCCAGGGGGTCTCTGGCAGGTGGGGCAGTGGGCAGGAGGCTCGTCCTGCAGGGTGAGGCAATGCAAGGCAAGGCAGGGCTGGGGTGCCATTGTTGCAGGGCGAGGCAGGGGCCGGGGCGGCTGCTGCCTGACACCATTGGCCCCTGCACACAGAGGCCAGCGAGTGCATGGGGGCCAACAGTGTCTGTCAGCAGCCACAGCCTGCCAGCCCTCAACCGTCGCACTCTGGGGCTCCACAGCCCGCCACCAGAAGTTCAGAGAAGCTGCCTCTGAGCTGGACAGATGGCCGACAGCTGAGGAGGCGATGCAGTGGGTCATGCCCGGGGAAAAAAAGAGCATGCGAGGCCAGGAGGGATGGGACGGGGGGGGGGGAACCAGCCATGCTGGGATGCATCCGGCCACGAGGGACTTCGGCGAGTTAGCGGGTGGCTGGTTGAAGAGGGACGGTTGTTATCTCCAGGGCATGGCACGCATGCCCACAGAGAGGGCTCCGAGTGCCGCCTCTGGCATGCCTGCCATAGGTTCCCCACCCCTGTTATAGGGCGTGGCTACGTGGAACGGCAGCCCAAATCGGAAACACACCCAGGATGGAGTTTGGGGTGAAACAAATCCAATATAGGTAGTCCTCAACTTACAACCACAATTGAGCCCAACATTTCTGTTGCTAAGCGAGACATTTGTTAAGTGAGTTTTTATGACCTTTTTTTGATGCAGCTCTTAAGTAAATCACTGGGGTTGTTAAGTTAGCAACACGATTGTTAAGTGGATCCAACTTCCCCCTTGACTTGGCTTGTCAGAAGGTCGCAAAAGGAGATCACGTGATCCCCCAGGACACTGCAACTGTCATAAATATGAGTCAGTGGCCCAGGGTTCGAATTTTGATCACGTGACCGTGGGGAGGTCACAACAGTCGTAAGTGTGAAAAACAGTCCTAAGTCACTTTTTTCAGCACCGTTGCAACTTCGAGAGGGCAGTAAAATGAACTATTGTAAGTCAAGGACTTATCGTTTTTGCAATAGGGATTCTGCTTTTTTTGGAAAAAAAAATTAAAAGCTTGTTATCATTTCTAAAATGCTTTTGGGTTTTGTTTTTTTTTTTAAATTAATTTTAAAGACTTGATCGCCCTGGGATCTCAAAGACATTTTTAGTCTCACTTTCTTCCTAGAATATTCAATTCTATTCTTTCTCTCTCTTTTTTAATCTTTCTTGGTCAGTACGTCTTGAATATCAAGCGATGTTTGTCCCCCAGCTGTTTTCTACCACCACCTACCATCACCTCTCAATTCCCTCCCCCCATTTTTTTTTTTAATTCCTGCAAACCATTAGAGCCTCTTCAGTGCTGTTAATATTTCCCTCTGGTGTGTGAACATTTTCTTCATAATGGCCTACATTTGGAGAGTAAGTGTGCTATTAGTTTAAAAGTAACAAGCAGCCTCTGGGTTTTATGCCCCCCCGAAGAGAGGCAATCGCACACAGAGTCTAACATCACAGAAAATGAATTAGAGCATTTGGCAATGCCTTACAACAGTGAGGTTGGGGTGGTGGTGGCCTGGTTTGATTTCTCAAGCAGTGATTGTTGGTTAGAGAACTGAGGTCAGCAACCACCCATCTGTCCCATGGTAGAGGCAATCCTGCGGGTCTTCTGAGTCTGCTGCTCGGGTTTTATTTTTCGTTGTTAAAAGACTTTTCAAAAAAAAAACCAACCCATTTCTGCAGTTTTATTCCATTACTTCTTCCCTCCTCCCCTCTTGAAAAACAAAATAACTTCTCCATGCCAATAGAGGGCAGAAAAGGCTAGAAATTATCTGTAGAGCCATTGATCCATTTGAAACAGAACAGAAACAAAAGATCCTCATTCGAAAGAATGGGGAGAATTTGTATTGTTACCTAAACAGAGCCTTTGGGGGCTTACAGATTGTACGCTCTTCCCAAAGTGATAGCAATTTGTTGAGATTTTTTTTTTCTACAATAGGGTTGCTGTTTCAGCCAGGTCTAAGAAACCAGGCTGTGCCCTATAAAACATATTTCCTAAAATTTACACTCTTTTTCTGTTGAACAGAAATAATCCCTGCCTCTCTGTCTCTATATTGTTATGTACTTTATTTGTCTCTCTTTTTCCCTCTGTCTGTGACTCTGTGTCTCTGTCTCTGCTTCTCTCTGTCTCTCTGTCTCTGTCTCTCTCTGTCTCTGTCTCTCTCTCTCTCTCTCTCTCTCCCTGTGTGTGTGTGTGTGTGTTGAGAGAGAGAAACAGAGAGAGAGAGACAGAGAGAGACAGAGACAGAGACTGAAGTATGTATAAATCTGGCAAAATCCATTTTTCTTTTGGTTTGATTGAAATTTATGATCTGATTCAGTTCCAGCTTGAATCCAATTTGATTTCAAAAATTGTTTCAGTTCCCTTTGAATATTTATTTATTTATATATTTATTTATTTATGAGACTTATATACCGCTTTAAGTGCAAGCACTCTCTAAGCGGTGTACACCAGTAAATATTGCCCCCAACAATCTGGGTCCTCATTTTACCTACCCCGGAAGGATGGAAGGCTGAGTCAACCTGGAGCCGGTGAGATTTGAACCGCTGACCTGCTGAACACAGTCAGCTAAAGTGGCCTGCAGAATATCTGAGCTGTTTAACTACTTTCATTGAAACTTCAAAAATTTGGGCTCAGCTGTGATTGTAATTCAAGGATACCTGTATAAAGATAGAATCCGAAATACCAATTCCATAACCTGCTCATTAGTTGACTGATTCTTTTCTCTTTCCTTAATATCCACAGTATCTGCAGTTTTGTGATCAAATCATCTTGCTAGAAGATGGGGAGATATCGGAAAGCGGTACCCATGCACAGCTGATGAAAGCCAAGGGCCATTATGCTCAACTCTTTTATAATCAGCACGCAGAAGACGTCATTGTGGGTTTCAGTCCTCAGTACTTATTTTGTGCTGCTGCCTATTAGCATCTCAAAGTTAGTTCTCCTGTACTGGTGAAAGCTGGTTCTAGATCAGAGATCCCCAACCTTTTGGGCACCAGGGAACGGTTCCATGGAAAGGGGGTTTTCCACCAACTGGAGGGTGCGTGGTTTTGTGTGCTGTCTGCATCTCATGGATGGGACTTTGCTTGTTTGTGCAGCCTGGTTGCTGGCATGCTGTGGCCCGGTACTGGGCCACAGACTGAGGATTAGGGGCCCCTGTTCTAGAAGAACTTTCTTCTGATCCTGCATAGAACTTGACTCTTTTGATGCCTTTGTGATTTCTCAGCATCCATTTTGTAGGATAGAGGAATTCAAGAAATTGGACAAACATTTGTCTGAAATGTTACAGGGTTTTCTGCTTGAGCAGGGGGTTGGACTAGAAGACCTCCATGGTCCCTTCTGTTATTCTGTTATATTTTAATGCCTAACCCACACTTCCGAAGCACAAATGCAAAGAACAATGGGGTTTATGCCCCAAGACAGGCACTATTCTGAGATTTCCGCCTCACAAACGTTTGCACCCCACAAACTTTTTGAAACGTGCACAGATGAAGAGAAGACGCACAACAACAGTAGAATCTGTGTGGAGAGCAAAGGGGACATGACTCATGCGATCAGCATCATATGCAATACTGGGATACTTTTCCACATGTATTGTAATATTCCAGGCATGTGCCAAAAGAGCTCAACCCCACAATGCTGCAAGAACTAAGCAACACCTCTGGTGCATGTAAAAATGACAGAGCGAGGGAGTAGGCAAAAAGGCACAGTTTTAGAGATAATCATATGCAAAAAGGGCTTATTATAATAATTTGAGTAATAGCAGGTCCAGTTACTGTTGAATCTCAACTTCCATGAGCCCTTTGCTAGTATCAATAAAGGAGAATATCTGTAGCTCAGGGTAGACTACAGTTCTTATCACACACTGCTGTTATTCATGCTAGCAAGGAGAGATGCTTGGTGCTGTCTGAGTTTGCTTGTTTTCTTGCAGATATTTCATTACATCTGCAAGAATGTAGATGCTTCATTATTCAAACTAGTGATGTTGGGTAATGAAACATCTGCGAGGAAACGAGCAAGCTCAGAGAGCACCAAGGACCCCTCCTTGCTACTATGGATAACAGCAGTGTGTGATAGGAACTGTAGTCTAACAATATCTGGATGGATAATCATTGCGCAGTCTAATTGATGATATTTATGGCCCAACGATAAAGATATCTTAAGAGTAGCCCCTGAATCAGAAAGGCAATGAAAATGATTGCTGGAGAACATTATCAGGAAGTAACAGCCAGGTTGAGCTTGTGGGCTTCCAGGAAACGTCTACTTAGATCAGTGGTTCTCAACCTTTCTAATGCCGCGACCCCATAATACAGTTCCCCATGTTGTGGTGACCCCCAACCACTTATACATCACCGGGTACCAGGGGTGTGGCCAAAGAAAAGGGGGAAAAATGGCGGACAGCCTTGTTTGGCGACCCCCGTGAAATGGTCATTCAACCCCAAATGGGGTCCCGACCCACAGGTTGAGACCACTGACTTAGATGTTGTAGGTCAGGGGTCCCCAACCCCTGGTCCATGGACTGGTACTGGGCTGCAGTGTGCCAGCAACCGGTCCGCACAAACAAGCAAAGCCCCATCCACAGGATGCAAGCAGCACACAAAACCATGTACCCACTCGTCCGCAGAAAAATCTCTCTCCTCATAACCAGTCCCTGGTGCCCAAAAGGTTGGGGACCTCTGTTGTAGGTAACAAGCTATTAGACTCAACTGACTTGAGGTTGAATAAACAAGGGTATTTTTGTATTCTTAACAGATGAGAAAAACTGTCAGGACTAAGAAGAATCAATAGTCTTTAGAAACAATTGCTAAAATAACTTCCTTGGGTCAATGATGCTGTTCCTTTAGTATCAGATGCTGGAGAAAAACAAGAAAGAATAGGGGTTGTTATCCTCAAGGCCAGTTTATGGGCTGTCCTATGGCTTAGACGAGGAATGGAGAACAATGGGCCTTTTATAACTTGTGGACTTCAACTTCCAGAATTCCTGAGCCAGCCAGCAATGCAAATTCCTGCAAATTCTGGGAGTTGAAATCCACAAGTCCTAAAGGGGGGCATCATTCTACTTGATCTAGCCAGGCTCCTTCATTCTCAACTGAAAACTTTTGACTTTGTTTACTTTAGATTGCAGACAACCAATTTCTTTCGTCGTCTTCAGATGAATCCATGAAAAAGAAAGACATGAAGGATTACGATTCAGACATCTCTTCCGTAGAAGTAAAAGACTACGATAAAATCGCTCCGACCCCTCCTTTATATTTTAGCGATCGTAAGTTTTAGCTTGACTTCCCCCTCACTTTTCACCTGGCCAGGATTTGATAAGCCTGATGATACAGAGACTAAGAAAGGCCTTGAAGAAGGAACAGTCAGAAGTATGTTTCACTCTGTCTTCCTGCACCATTAAATTCCCCAAATCTCACTGTCAACCTCTATGTTAGTGCAAAAGCAGCCAAGCTTGCTTAGGATAACTGCTTCAAGGTTAGGCCTGAGTACTTTTGAGGTGAAACAAATGTTGAAAAGTGAAATAAGGATGCTTTTTTCCCCTTCATCAAAGTGTTATTACACACTAAATCAGAGGACCCCAATCTTTTGGGCACCAGGGACTGATCCCACGGAGAGATGGTTTTCCGCAGACCAGAGGGGGCATGGTTTTGTGTGCTGCCTGCATCTCATGGATGGGGCTCTGCTTGTTTGTGCGGACCAGTGGCTGGTATGCTGCGACCTGGTACCAGTCCATGGACCGGGCGGTTGGGGACCCTTGGTTTAAATCGTTGATACACGTAAGCAAGATAGTTACCTTGCTGAAGAAGTAGTGGACGAATAGCTTATTTCAATCTCCATTTCATACCCATTCATGTTATAATTCTAGAAACAAATTACTTTGGTAGGACAACCCTCTCTGGTAGACTTTATTTGTAGTAAAGGTGTTCTAGCTTGGGAAACCTATTTCTGGGTTCTAGACTTGGTTTAACAGAACAATTGCTGGGTTGACTCATCATGCGATGTTCAAACCAATATGTCAACGCTGCAGATATTGTATATTCTTGCTTTTGACAATATGCAGAATTGTCTGGTAAATATGGGGTTAATAAAGAGCAGAAGGGGCGTTGAGGGTAAAGTCAGGGAAAGAAAGAGGAAGAAAACATTTGACCTTCACACTAATTGGATAGTGTGAGATATGACGGCTAATTTAGGGAGGGAACACGCTGATAATTTAACTGCTCAGAGGAAGAGAACTTAGATCCTTGCATCTCTCCGTTGTGCCTGTGCCGACATTTTGTAACATTAAAAGACTTTTAGGAAAATAAATGCCTGGAAGTTCTTTGGAATGTTTCATTAGCCGGAACCACATCACAATAGTAGTATGGTTTCATGAAATAGTCACTTGATGATCATGGTCATGGAACATGACCGGTCATGGAAGACAAAGATAAACCTGGCTGGGGAATTCTGGGGATTGAAGTCCACATAAAATTGCTCAGGTTGGGAAACATTGAACTAGATGGGGCTCCTCCACCGTTTTCTCAAATTGTAAGAAAGAAGTGCTACGAGGCCATGAACATACTCTAGTAGGCTAGAAACCACCCTCTTTAAAGGTAAGGAGTGGATTTTACCCCACTAGTTGTGGCTGACTGTTTCAAGGCCATTTAGCCAGGGCTGTCTGAAGACATTTCCACAGTCATGTGGCCAGCATGACATCCCAGAGCGCTGTTACCTTCCCACCAAAGTGGTACCTATTTATCTACTCGCATTTGCATGGTTTCGAACTGCCAGATTGGCAGGAGCTGAGGTAAGGACAGGAGCTCATCCCGTCACATGGCACTCAGATTTTGAACCTGGGCTGGCAGCTTTCCGGCAGAAAAACCCAGCGTCTTAACCATTGACCACCCCACTGCCCTTCTATAAACGCTTATCATATTTCCTCAAACGAATTTAAGGAAAAGCCATGCCAGAGGCGCTTTCCCCAACTGAATGGAAGTTCTGGAAATGCCACATCTAAAAAAAAAAAAAAAGATAAATAAATCCAAATTAAGTAAAAGACCACAGAGAGAGGCCTAGTGAATTCTGTGCCTAGAAAAGTTCAGAAGAGGAAATGAAAAAAAGAAAAAGAAAAAAAAAAAAGCTCAAACTCCAAGCTAAATTAGCCCCTTGGGCAGTTTTCCTCCCGACCTGCCTCTGCTTTGTTCCACAATCAAAAGAGGTGAATAAGGAAATCAATTGGGTTTTGCATCCCAGCTGCTAGCAGTATTGATCCTTTCAGGTAAATCAATGTCCTCTTCAATTGCATTCCTGTCACGGGCTCCCATTCATTCAACAGCCATTAGAGAAACAAAAGGAGCATTTTCCATATGGCTTCATCCTAGGGGGGGGGGGTGGGAATGGCAAGCCGGCAGGGTGGGGGGAGTGTGCGCATTTGTAAAGGCTCTTGTGAAGTTGCAAATGTTCATTTGTGTAGATAGGCTCAACCCACCTCCAACTTTGCTTGAAATGCACGGGGGTTTGTCATCTCTGGGGAACGTTGTGGTGCAAATAAACGTGTGATGATTTTCTGCCACAGCTCCTGAAGACCAGCTTGTTCAAAAAGAGGAGAAGACAGAAGGCGCCATTAGATGGGAAACCTACCACATGTATATCAAGGCATCTGGAGGTATATGCCATAACTGGTTGCACATTTTCTTAAATGCATTTGTTCATGATAAATTCCTGCAAAAGTCATATGGGTGGGTGGGAGAAAGGGTATATATGCATATGCACAGACACACACACACACCTATATAATATATAATATCTGGATATGAGGGCACAGTGTGCCAAAGAAATGTGGTGGGGATTTAAATCATCTTGGACAAATCTGTCTTCCAAATAGAATGGGTAGGACAGACTTAGAAGCCTTTGAGATCTTTTAGATTTAAATAGAATGGGAATCCCAACCCTTCACATTATTTATCGGATCATGAACTAACAGAACAGGCTGCCTTCTCACAACAAGCTAAGCCACAAAACAATTCACCAACATTATTAACTCCCAAAGCAACTAAGTTTAGCATGGGCTGTTTGCTCTCCGAGCTTAGCGTTTTAGCTGCAAACATTTCATTTCCATTCAGGGGGGACATCTTCAATGCCCTTTAGCCCATTGTGCAAATGTGGCTGTTAGCTCTTTACCTGACCTTGTTCAGTGGTTCTGTGAACTCAGCCTTCATATCCTCAGGAATGCAGTTTGACATCCCATGTCCACATTTCCTTCTAGGTTTCCTGTTGTGGTTTGTCATCATTCTTCTCTTTGTTCTGATGATTGCCAGCTCAATCTTCAGCAACTGGTGGTTGAGTTTCTGGTTAAACCAAGGATCTGGGGTAAGTAAGTGCCATTTGGCATCAAATTATTATTCTGTTTATGTCAGCGGTGTCCTACCGTGGCAATTTTAAACTTGTGGAGTTCAACTCCCAGAATCCACCTGACTGAGAGGGTATAGGGTCTCCTGCTTGAACAGGGGGCTGGACTAGAAGACCTCCAAGGTCCCTTCTACTCTACTCTACTCTACTCTACTCTACTCTACTCTACTCTACTCTACTCTACTCTACTCTACTCTACTCTATTCTTCACTTATTCTATTCTATTCTATTCTATTCTATTCTATTCTAATTCCCCAGCCACCTCTGGTTTATGCCCTCTACTCATTGCTGAGCATGAGCTGGCCAAAAAAGTAAAGTAAGATTTTAATAAAATTTCTTTTTGAGGACATTCCCTTTCTACAAACTTTCCTCTACTTCTACCTTTTTGTCAAAGACCCAGAGGCAAGGACATGGCCAAGAAGAAACAGTGTGCAACTTTTAAAATTGAGTGTTGTTGTTTTTTCTCTTGAGACAAGTTTAATGTTGGTTTTATAATGCATGGCATTTTCCCAAGCATTAGTTATGTCCATTAATTGCTTTTCCAAATCCAACGACAACATTGCCGGTACATTTGGGATTAACTTTTGGACCTGCCAAAGGTTTGCCTACCAACACATAAGAGAAACAGTTATTTGTGGCACGTAACTCGCTGCCTGCCAACCTTAGGAAGCTGGAAAGGGAAGACACCACAAACGAACAATATGTTGTTAGATATCTTACACAAATCCTCTTTTCTTATGACAGTGGAAAGCAGCCTTTAGACTTAATTCTATAAGTTTTTGTTTTGGAAATCTGTCTTGACAGAGATTGATATATAATTGATGTTACTTTTTTCCCCCATCTCCTATTTAAGAAAAAAGGACAAGCTTCTCTTCTTCTTTTTGTTTCAAATCTGTTCTTTAGAACATAACGTGTAGCTATCCTCAAAACACAACTTGTGATGAGGGCAGCATCACCAACAATCCTCAGCTTCCGTTCTACCAGCTGGTCTTTGGGATGAGTGTGGTCTCCATGATTGTCCTGAGTTTCATCAAAGGTTATGGTTTCACTAAGTTGACCTTACGAGGTGCCTCAAACCTCCACAACACCATGTTTTACAAGGTATCACTAACCTTTGGTTAACCCTCATTGTGATTCCAATTTGTTTTTTTGATAGGGAGCACGAAGCAAAGTTGATTTCATAAACCTAATTTGGGGGTTGGGGAAGGGGTGGGAGAAAGTCACCCAGTGCCCATCAGGCACAAACCACCAGATCCACACTTGTAGAATTCAAACAAGCTACTTTATTATTCTATGCCTATTCTACAGGAATCTCCCCCAGATTGGGAGATTTTGCCTGGGAAAGACTAGATAAGACTCAAAGAAAAGGATGGGGGGGAGGTCAGAACTTGCTCTCTTTGTTTAAATAACAATTCCAGATAATGTCCCTCTTGATTCCCCCTCCTAACCGGAATGGTTGCTCTCCGACAGTGCTTCAGCAATTATTCAATAAACTGTGCCTTAACATACTGTGTGCACTTAATCCAGAGTCCAGTGTGGCCCATCAGAGACTTTGTATCTTGTCCAGAAGATGCAATGGAGGATTGTTTATTCCAAAGGGGGTTACTGTTGAGGATGCAACAAGCCTTCTTGGGGTGGCTGTCATGTGTGGAACAATCTTTCCTGACAAGTAAGGACGGCCCCTACTCTACAGGTCTTTTGAACACAGGCCATTTGCCAGGGGTAAATAAATGGCCTCTTCTATAAACGTTTCTCTTTGACCATGTTGTATCTTTCTCAGAACCTGCTAGTATTGGCTCAGATTGTAAAGATAGATAGATAGATAGATAGATAGATAGATAGATAGATAGATAGATAGATAGATAGATATAATATATAATATATAATAGATAGATAGATAGATAGATATAATATATAATAGATAGATAGATAGATATAATATATAATAGATAGATAGATAGATAGATAGATAGATAGATAGATAGATATAATATATGTGAGAGAGAGAGAGAGAGAAATAGATGATAGATAGATAGATAAAGATAATAGATGATTGATAGATAGATATAGATAGATAGAGATAATAGATGATAGAAAGAGAGAAAGATATAGATGATAGATAGATAGATATAATAGATAGATAGATAGAGATTAGAGAGAGAGAGAGAGAGAGAGAGAGAGAGAGAGAGAGAGATAAATAGAGAGAAAGATAGACAGACAGACAGACAGACATGGAATACAGCAAAAATAACATGTAAATAAATAAGGCTGGAGCAAGGAACCAATAAAACTAAAGCTTAGAAAAGACTATAACTTTTTGATGAATTCCAGAGAAGCACAGAACAAAGTTTTAGGAAAGGTTTGTGGCCTGAATCCACTTACAGCTAACAATCTGATACCGGAAAGTCATTTTCTTCCAAGTCAATTAAATTCTCTGCGGGTGTTTCTTTCCAGCAAAGGATCTGGTTGGACTGTTCTGCTCAAATTATGGCTGGTTTTGCAGTCTGGACGGATGCAGCTCGACCATCTGTAAAGAGCCTTCCCCTTTCTAGCTGCATCAATTTCATCCGGCAGAATTTCCCAACTCACTTAAACATAAGTAAGAATTCTGGGAATTGAAGTCCTCTAACCTGGAGGTCACCTTGGCCGAGGAAGACTAGCACAAATTGGCGGAGAAAGGATGAATTCTAGTGCCATATTTTATGAGAACCCATCAGCGTTGTTCCATTATTTTGCACTTAGCTAAAACAGGTATTAAGAGTCTGCAAAAAAAAATCCCATTTCTAGCAGAAAGTTTTATTTCTAGCTCTGTAGTTCTAGGGCGGTACTTCTTATTGGTTATGAACTCTTTCCCCAAGGACGGGTTATTAGAAACGGACCCAACTACTCCCTCTTCTTTTCTTCTTCACAAAACAGCCTTTAAAATCTCTTCCAGCTATTGGGGGAAGAAAAAAGAGAAGGCCCTGTTTTGCATTTATGCTGACGCTTAGGTGAAACTGACCTATTTCTGCCATCCAAAAACTGAGCGCTACAAAAGACTTATCTCCCATCTCATGGTGTTGTTATTGTTGCTCTACGTTGTTTGTTGTGTACTGCAGCGCTCTCTTCTCCCCCAACACCTACCTCATTTATCTACAGATCTTGGAGAGTCCAATGATTTTCTTTGATACCAATCCCATCGGCAGAATCATGAACCGTTTCTCTAAGGATATGGACGAAGTGGATACGCGATTGCCGTTTTACCTGGAGAATTTCCTCCTGCAGTTTTTTGGACTCCTGGCCATTTTTACTATTGTTACCATCATCTTTCCTTACCTCCTCATCAGCATGGTGGTCCTAATGATCATTTTCATTCTGCTCTTCCGGTAAGTGGGAAGTTCTGCCTTTCCGAACGTTTGCTCTCGTCGTCGTCTAAGTGAAAGCTGCAGAGATCCATCCACGGATGTTCAGATCTGTGGTCATGAGACTCCCCAGTTGATCCCTCTCCCAGTTCCAGGTTTTTCATATGCAGAAGGGAATTCACAAGCCCTGGACTGATTCAAACATTAATACACAAATGCCATCTTGTAATACTTCTGTCTTCAAGGATAGTTACTGCCACAGTCTCAACCCCATGGAGACCTGGGACTAACTTATGCTGTTAGGCATGGGCAGTTTTGGGGGGCCCTAATGTTCCCTGAGCTGCATTGCTTGCCAGTCTGCTTCCAGGTGCAATTCAAGGTGTTGATGATCACCTTTAAAGCCTTTCATGGCCTATGGCCAGGTTTCCTGAGGGACTGCCTCATTCCACTGGGATTCGCCTGTCCCACTCATGCTGGCAGAGGAAGCACGCTGCGGGTCCCATCAGCCTGATTATTCCAGCTGCTGAGGTCCAGGAGGAGGGCCTTCTCTGCTGTTACTGAACATCTTGTCCCCCCACTCCAATGTGAGGTTGGCCCCTACCCTCCTATCCTTTCATAAGACCCTCAACACTTGGCTCTGCCAGTTGGCCAAGGGCCCCCAATGGGAAAACAGAACAGGGGAGCTGGTTGATCAAGTAACAACAGATCCCACATCCTCCCACTCTGCATATATAGTGGGGCATGTTATTGTGCATTCCATTACAGTATTTTTCAGAACACTATCCAAGACCTCAAACGAATTGAGAACATCAGCAGATCTCTGTGGTTGTGTTTGATCACATCTTCCATCCAAGGTCTTAGTACGATCCGTGCTTTCAACAAGACAGAGGACTACATAAATCGGTATGTTTCCTGGGCCCAAATCATGCTGTTTTTTTTATTTCACTAGCCATCTCTCCACTCTAAGTACAGCTGTTTTACTACTTTCCACCTGAGCACCTACCTTGTATCTGCCAAGAAATTGATGAAGCCACTCTGCTATTGTGCTGCCTAAGTGGGAGATATCCAAGGGTTTTCCATTTGCAGAAAATGCTGAGCTGCAGGGAAGCTCTCTGATTGCCCTATGGATTCTCAGGATTGTCCCTAAGTGCATCTGTATATGACCCCCCCCTTGAGAGCACTTTATATTCTTTTGCAACCATTAAACTATTCTTAAGATCTGGTTTCTAAAGCAACAGAATTCAACATTCAAGCCTTCTGGCGATTTCTGGCAGAATCTGAGGCTCACTGAAAAAGTCGCTAACCAGTAACTCAGTGAGAGGGTAGGGTATCTATTCTGAACCAGTAGAATGGAGGGATTTGGGTCATTTTCCCACTATGCAACTTACGGATTCTTCTAGTATCATCCAACCATCATTGGGTCAAAATAACAGTAGCAAGGACTTCATAGCACTTTGGTGTTAGATCAATGGAAACAATGGCTGTAGCCCTAGTTCCCTAAGAGAGCTGTAATGGTACAAGGGAATGGTCTTGGAGACAGGAGGAAGACTCTGAAAATGGCCAGATAAGCAGCACTTGGGTCCACAGAAGGGATAGGGGCAAGGAAAAGATCTCACAAGACTTCACCCTCCCTAGTTTTCAAGAGAGTGAAATTAAGGAAGTAACAGACATGTTACTGTAACCTTGCAGTAAAGATAGTTAGTACTTCTGGTAGGTACTTCTTGTCTAGACTGCCTCAACGGTCTGACAAGTGCTTACAAGTACTTTGTACAATAGGTCCGACCCACAAACCTAATGAGCTCACTTAAATACTGCAGACATAAAACATATTAAACTTAGGGTCCTTGGCGCTCTCTGAACCTGGTGTCCGGTTGTCATAAACAACCACGCTCGGAGAGCACCAAGGACCCCACAGTTCAACCCTGAGCTACGCATGTTCTCTTCTATCGGTATATTAAACTTCATGACTGCTGACCTTCATTGGGATGTTGTGACTTTGAATGAGAACAGTGGTTCTCAACCTTTTTAATGCCGTGACCCCCAACCGGTCGTAAGTTGAGGACTACTCAACTGGTGCAGCACCGTTTGCAGAATGGGACTTTTGGCGGGCTCAGCAGGGCAGAGACAGCCTGGACAATTCCTATTGGCTTTTGAAAGCCAATAGAATTAGACTCTATTCTATTGGCTTTCAAAAGCCAGTAGAATAAAAGGGAGTAGCATAGCTAAGGAAAAGGGGGAAAAAATGGCGGACTGCGTTGTTTGGCGACCCCTGTGAAATGGTCGTTCGACCCCAAATGGGGTCCCGACCCACAGGTTGAGAACCGCTGAACTAGAACATGTGTTAATTGGGCAACTAAGTTAATCATGTTTTGCAAGTCCTGCCGTGGAGACTGGAAGCCTGATGTGGGGAACGTTATGGGATCCCATCACCGTCGGGTCCTTGAGACAACAGTGGCCTTCGGAAACCCGTCCCCTCTGAGAATTTTTTTTAAAAAGCTCACATTAAAAGAAGGAAGAGGTAGAGGAGGAAAAACTCCCTACCTTTCCCACCCAGCCAAGGATGCAGCCCCTCACAGCTTCGTTTTTTTTTTTTGTTTTTTAACCGACTACTGTCTTATTCAACCAACACTAAAAGTGGGTATGGTAAAAGACCTTCCCATCCAAGCTGCAGTCTCCACTGTGGGTTGCATGAATATTCATGGCTTGACGTGAACATTCTGCTGCAGTTGTAGTGTGTTTCAAAGCGAGATCTTGGCGGGAGCTCCCTTCCCATCAAGGTAGTCCCAATTCTCATCACTGCCCGGTGAAAGCGGACAATACCTATTGGAAGGAGGAATTTCTTATTTCTAATACTGGTTTTCAATTATTTGGCCTCTCTATTGGAATGAAAGGAAAAGAGGTGATAGCTAGAAGGGTGATAAAACCCTGACATAGCATTCACTGTGTGTATGTGCCTCAGTAAAGGTTCATTCCTCCTCCTCCTCCTCCTCCTCCTCCTCCTCTTTCATCTCCTCCTCCTCTTCCTCCATCTCTTCCTCCATCTTCTCCTCTCCTCCTCTTCCTCCATCTCCTCTTTCCCTTCCTCCTCCTCCTCCTCTTCCTCTTTCATCTCCTCCTCTTCCTCCTCCATCTCTTCCTCTCCTCCTCTTCCTCCATCTCCTATTTCTCTTCCTCCTCCTCCTCCTCCTCCTCCTCCTCCTCCTCCTCCTCCTCTCCCTCTGTCTTCTTCTTCTCCTCTTCCTCCTGACTGCTAATTTGTGCAGTTCAGCACCAGCCTGCTGGAGATAACACTGTCCCCTCTTAAGGTTCCTCACTTGCCCCCTATGAGTGTCGGTGGGAATATTCTTGGTGGAACCAGCAAGAACATCAAGGAACCTACCAAGAACCTACCAAGAACACTCCCACCATTTAACTGGGCCGACCACTTTATGTAAACAGAAAGCAAATCCCACTCCCTTCTAGCACTGATAACGTTACCTAGTTTGGGAGTGAAACATGTGCAAGAAAACCACCAAGCTCAGAGAGCACCAAGGAGAGTTTCAGCCTGAGTCACAAATATTCTCTTCTATCAATGCAAGACAACTATTGAACATCTCATTCTTACTTTCATTTCAGTTTTAGGATCTTGAATGATGAAAACTCAAACCATTTCATTATGTTTAACTATGCACTACGATGGTTTGCACTGAGGACAGATATTCTCATGAACTTCATGACGTTGATTGTAGCCCTGTGTGTGGTCCTCAGCCATTCTTCTATCAGTACTGCAGAAAAAGGCTTGGCTCTATCTTACTCTCTCCAGGTAAAAAAACTGTGTTTTTCCATCCTAAGTTCATCTCATTTTTCAAATGCATATTGCGGTCCCAAAGCGGATTGTTAAAAATATCCATGGAGCAAAGTCTTGTGCAGTTTTCTCCATATGGTGAGTCTCAGGATACCAATTAAAAATATCACACACACAGATGCAAAACAAAGTAAACTCCTGCAAGTCTGACATATGCCCACGTCTGTGGTAGAACACTTTCTTCTCTATCACCTTACTACACTCTTGTGAGTCTTGAAAACATTTATCTCTTATTTGGGGGAACCTGCTGTGTCCTTTGATATTGTGGCTTCATCCTGTCCTGGCCCAAGAGTAGGGCCAATCCTGTATTGAACAACATATGAATTGCACTCAAATATGTAAAGGGATAAGCAAAAGATCTGCCACAAGTGAGCTGCTGTTACTTGTTAAGATATTTGTAAGAAAAAAAGATGTTGAGACTCTACAAAGAGTGCAGAGAAGAGCAACAAAGATGATTCGGGGACTGGAGGCTAAAACATATAAAGAACGTTTGCTGGAATTGGATATGTCTAGTTTAATGAAAAGAAGGACTAGAGGTGACATGATAGCAGTGTCCCAATATTTGAGGGGCTGCCACAAAGAAAAGGGGGGGTGTCAACCTATTATTCTCCAAAGTACCAGAAGGCAGGACAAGAAACAATGGATGGAAACTAATCAAGGAGAGAACCAACCTAGAACAAAGGAGAAATTTCCTGACAGTTAAAATAATTAATCAGTGGAACGACTTGCCTCCAGAAGCTGGGTGCTCCAACACTGGAGATAATTTTAAGAAGAGATTGGACAATCAGGGTCAAGAGCTGATCCACCCTTCCAGCACATTTCCAAAAAAGGAAATTCCAAATCACATTCACATGAATTTCAGAAAACGAGAAGTTCCATGTTGGATCAGCTCTGCATTTATCTAGTAGTCTGGTTCCATAATAGTTGTGAGGATGTCTTAAACAGGACAGGTGTACAGCAGCATCCTGGCTACTGTTCGGCCACAGTAGGAGTCAAGAGATTGCCAACTTGTGAAATGGGATTTTTGAATGGTAACTACCGAGAGGTTTATCCGTCATGAATTTCTCTGATCTTTTAAATTCATTCTTGGTTTATTCACTGAGGCCACATAGGTATGCTGCCTATTCATGCAAGTCTACAGTACTGTGGTTTGCTTGTACCAGATGCCTACGTAACTGTGCTGGAACTGATTGGATTTGCTCTTTCAAAAGATCTCTCTCTACAGTAAGGTTTCCTCTGCTCTCTCTTTCCCCATTGTTTTCTCTAGCTGAGTGGGCTTCTTCAAGTATGTGTGAGATCGTGCATCGAAGTGCAAGCCAGATTTACTTCTGTGGAGCAGATAACAGGATACATTTTGGTAAGAAAGGCTCCCCATCAGAGAAATGAATGTCGAGATTTCTGTTTTATTTTTCGTGCACCCCAAACCCAAAAATCAGATTTGCAGAATTCCAGAGAACACGAAGGCATAAATCAATAGACGTTGGTTGAAATGCTGGTGTAGACACAGTATCGAGTTGGCATTTTCTAGTTTATAAATCCCATTTTCCATTTCTTCTTACAACTGAGAGTGACTCAAATGTCAAGTATCCACTGCTATAATTACACCAAACATCGGTTTTAAATCTTAGGTGAAAGAGAACTGGGTTATTTGGGCGTGCGGGGGGGTGTTCTTGTTCATAAATTTATCCCCACAATATTATTTTTAAAATGTCTCTTGGATCAATGTCATAAATTACAACAAACAGTATGAGCCTCGAATTATGAAAATGTCCAGTTTCTGGTCATTCCAATCTCTAACTAAAGTTACTATGATACCCTAATGCAGTGGTTCTCAACCTGTGGGTCGGGACCCCATTTGGGGTCGAACGACCATTTCACGGGGGTCGCCAAACAACGCAGTCCGCCATTTTTTTTCCCTTTTCCTTAGCTGTGCTACTCCCTTTTATTCTATTGGCTTTTGAAAGCCAATAGAATACAATCTCTTGAATAGAGTCTAATTCTATTGGCTTTCAAAAGCCAATAGGAGTTGTCCAGGCTGTCTCTGCCCTGCTGAGCCCGCCAAAAGTCCCATTCTGCAAACGGTGCTGCACCAGTTGAGTAGTCCTCGACTTACGACCGGTTGAGTAGTCCTCGACTTACGACCGGTTGGAGGTCGCGGCATTAAAAAGGTTGAGAACCACTGCCCTAATGGGTAGTAGCAATAATCGTGAGAAACAGAAAGAAAAAGGCCCAAATAAGAAACAGGTCAAACAAAAGAAATTTGAGTGGAAAGCAGAAATGTAAATTAAGGAAGCATCCCACTTTTGATGCTCCCTAGTTCTCTTGGAGATAAAGGAAAAGAGGGAAGACATGCATTCAGATTTACAATATTCCGTTACGGAAACTTTATAATAAAAGTAGCGTTAGCACCCGTAACTTTGGTTCTGACGGATACGGATTCCAGATGTTCTTTCTTTGTTTCCTTCAGAAATGCACTCCGGAGGGATCAGAGACCCCTCCAGTGGTCACCCCTCCCCCAGACTGGCCCGATAAGGGGGAAATCATTTTCAAGAACTATCAGATGAAATACCGGGAAAATAGTCCTATTGTCCTCCATGACATCAACATCCACATTCAAGCTAAAGAAAAAATTGGGATCATTGGCAGGACCGGTTCAGGTACAATCTATTCTATCGATCGCTTGTACGTTGTACTGATAATGAAATGCCCGTTTCTCTATGATTTACTCAGATATGGGAGTAAATGGGCAGGCATTGTAAAGACCGAGAAAGTCAGCAAATAACTTTTTTAACCTGAACTGGCGGAGGCCATACATTGTACTAAACAATTAAAAAAAAATCAATTTTGTCCTAGATATACCGTAAATGCCGGCGTATAAGACGACTTCCGCGAGCGCTGAAATCAGCGCCAAAGACGGGGGTCGTCTTATACGCCGAGTCGTCTTATACGCCGGAAATACTGGTAGTTTCCGACGTATAAGACGATGTTCTAGGAATGCGGCCCGGCTATAAAGACGGGGGTCGTCTTATACGCCGGGTCGCCTAATACGCCGGCATATATGGTAGTTCTTACTTTTAGCAAGGAATGGCAGCCTTTGGTTTTGTAATGGTATGTGAGAATGACCTTGGGAGACAGGAGGAAGAGCTCAGAGATTAAGTAACAGGTGAGACGGGTGAGAATTTGAGGTAATCTGAATCTATCAGATTCAGTTTAAATTCATTTAAAGTGATGATGATATATGGGGCCAGTTGCACTTCTACAAGCCTTCAAACAAATTTATCCGGTTGTTCAGGTTTATTTTCTCTCTCTCTCTCTCTCTCCCTCCCTCCCTCCCTCTGTCTCCCTCCCTCCCTCCTTCCACCTTTCTCTCTCTCTCTCTTTCCCTCTCCCTCCCTCTCATCTCCCTCCCTCTTTCTTTCTCTCTCCCCCTCTCTCTCCTTCCCTCCCTCTGTCTCCCTCCTTTCATCTCTCCCTCCCTCCCCCTTTCTCTCTCTCTCTTTCCCTCTCCCTCCCTCTGTCTCCCTCTCGCTTTCTCTCTCCCTCCCTCCCTGTCTCCCTCCATCCCTGTCTCCCTCCCTCCCCTTCTCTCTCTCCCTCCCTCCCTGTCTCCCTCCCTCCCTCCCTTCCCCTTTCTCTCTCTCCCTCTCCCTCCCTCTCTGTCTCCCTCCCTGTCTCCCTCCCCCTTTCTCTCTCTCTCTCTCCCTCCCTCCCTCCCTCCCTCTCTTTGGTTCCCAAATCTTTTGAATCTGTGCTCTTGCTGTACTTTTTCTAGTGCAGGGACTTCCAACCTTGGCAACTTTTAAGCCTTGTGGACTTCAACTCCCAGAGTTCCCCAGCCACAGAATTGAAGTCCACAAGTCTTAAAGTGGCCAAGGTTGGAGACCCCTGCTCTAGTGGAAAACCAGGAGGGAAGAGAGCTTGGGACAACACATCCTGGCATATGCAGAAGTAGAAAAACGTATTCCCCCCTCCAAGAAACATCCCTGATGACAGACGAAAAATGCTGTCGTTACTTTCGACAAGAAAGTGGGCTTCCTCGAGGTCATCTTGCATTATAGAGATCTGCAAAAATTTTCCCATCGTGGAATAATCCAACTTGAAAGAATAGACTTTTTTTAAAAAAAAAACTCAAAACAGATCCATTCTGAGGTTCGACACAGCCTGTTTCAAGAACGGAAGGTTCTTTAATCAAATAGTTTGCCATATCCAGTTTATTCTTTCTAATCCTAGTAACACAAACAGGGTGTCCCAGAAGGTTTAATGCCATTTTTAAGCTTTGAAAGCTCGACACTGCACTAAAATGAGAAGCTTTTAAAGCTTAAACCTGCACTGAGACTTTTGGGACACTCTACGTTTTGCAGTGTAGAATCTAAAGAGCAATCTAAATTCTCTTGCACTAGATTTCCAGAAAAAATATTTCTTGGCCCTCGGACGCTGGCATCTTTGGCCTGGCAGATTTTTTTAAATGATGGGGAAAGCTCATTTAAAAGGGACCCAGGTTGGCATTGTTCAAATCTTGCAGGAAAGTCCTCTTTGGGGGCTGCTCTGTTTCGACTCGTGGAACCAACGTCTGGCACGATTGTCATTGACGGCATTGACTCCTGCAGCATTAGCCTGGAATCTTTACGTTCAAAGCTGTCCATCATCCCGCAAGATCCTGTTCTGTTTGTAGGTACAATAAGGTAGCTGTTGCCATTATCCATTAACCTTTCCTGCCATTTTTTTTCGGGGGGGGGGTGGAGGGAGGGGCAGTGAAGTGGCTCAGTAATTAAGACATGGGGTTTGTCAGCTGGAAAACTGGCAATCCAGGCAGGTTTAAGACTCCAGCACCATGCGAGGGGGTGAGTTCCCGTCCTAGCTCCAGCTCTTGCATGCAAATGCGAGTAGATAAATAGGTACCACTTTGGTGGGAAGGAAAAGTGCCCCATGACCACATGACCCACATGACCCAGGGAAAAGTCTTTGGACAGTGCTGGGTCAATGGCCTTGAAACGGAGATGATCAGTGCCCCCTAGAGTTGGCAATGACTAGCGGAGTAAAATCTTCAGGGTTTCCATTACTTTTAGATTTTATTTATTTATTTATTTATGAGACTTATATACCGCTTTAAGTGCAAGCACTCTCTAAGCGGCGTACACCAGTAAGAAATGTGTATATATATATATATATATATATATATATATATATATATATACATACATACATTGCCCCCAACAATCTGGGTCCTCATTTTACCTACCCCGGAAGGATGGAAGGCTGAGTCAACCTTGAGCCGGTGAGATTTGAACCGCTGACCTGCTGAACACAGTCAGCTAAAGTGGCCTGCAGTACTGCTGCGCCACCTCGGCTCTTGCCAAAGCAAAAGCAGACCATTAAAGATGGTTTCCAGGCCCTCTTTTAAAAGGAATCCGGAGGATTGATGATCTCTGGATTACAAATTAGGGTGACTAGACAGACAGGCTATAAAAGATGGCTCTGTGTGATTCATTAGACCTCTTTAAAAAAGAAGAAGAAGAAAATGCCGTGATTTGCACCCAAGCGCTCCTCAACTGACTGGCTGCTATTTCATCTCTTATCTTTTAAGATCCAAACTCTGGGATCATTTTTATGATAAGTGCATTTGGATCCTCTCTGGGTCCTTGGGATGACGGGGTTGGTCGCTCCATCTTAGCCTTTTTCAAGAAGGCAAGGAGAAAAATAAAAGGTGAAGAAATAATTTCCTTGGTAGGAGGGTGTATAATACAGGTAGTCCTTGACTTACGACCACAATTGAGCTCAACTTTTCTGTTGCTAAGCGAGACAGCTGTTAAGTGAGTTCTGAGCCAATTTACAACTTTTCTTGCCTCAGTTGTTAAGTGAATCACGCGCTCCTTAAGTTAGTAACATGGTTGTTAAGCGAATGGGGCTTCCCCGTTGACTTTGCTCGGGAGAAGGTCGCAAAAGGGGATCACATGACCCCGGGATGCCCCAACTGTCATAAATATGACAGTTGCCAAGTGTTCAAATTTTGGTCACGTCACCCTGGGGATGCTGTAGTAGTCGTAAGTGTGAAAAATGGTCATAAATCAGTGGTGGCCATCTATGCTGAAAGGCATTCAGTCTTAGCTCCACAAGGCCGTCTGGAAACAGTGAGGAACCAGCCCCTGCCACGTCGGCACTACCCCCTGGGTGCATGCTGGGGAGTTGTCACCTTTTGTGAGGAATGAAGAAATGGACCATGCCTTGGCACTTGCCCCGGTCCTACCCCCTTCTTCTAGAGACCCTCAGATCGGTCCCACTCCTGCCCAGACCCGCACACGCACCCTTGACGCGAACGATGTAGAACTGGCCACACTCACCCAGTAGGCCGCACCCACCCTGGCTGCACCCACCTGGCTCCCCAAGGGCAACCGCAATGCTGATGCAGCCCTCAGTGAAGTTGAGTTTGACACCCCTGTTCTAAGGGATCCTATACCAAACAAACAGAAGGCAGGCTTATTTTGAATTTATTTTTTCCTCCTGCTTTGCTCTTTTCCAGCATCGAGAAACCTATTTTGAACCTCCTACTCCCTTAATACTCCATTTTTCTCTTTCCCATTTGTTTCCTCTCGCCATCACACCCACACATCCCCTGGGCAAATGAAAACCAGGTCCTGGGTCTAATCAGTGCTGGTCTTTAAACCTTATGGTGAGGCTCTCCTGCATTGTGAGTTATAATGACTCTGTTGATTAAATTGGGAGAGGGCCAAGCCTTGTAATGGTCTTTATCCCCTGGGCTTATTGGTCTTCCTGCCTCTTTGCTGGGCTGGTTATGAAAACTCATCCCACACAGTTCTCCATTATATTATATGCAAACACAGTCAATAGATTCATCACCACGTTAAGCCATAAGGTGGCTTATGGAATTTAATGCTGGCTAAAGCCACATCCTGCCGCTAATTCCATAAATGATTGCTACTGGATCACCTTATGCTAAACCAGTGTTCGTAGCTGCTTTGCACTAAAAGGGCTATTTCAACTCAAACCAACCATATTGGGACATAAGATTGTTTTCATTATCCTCATGAAAAATATTGTGGAAAGCCACGTGGTTGCAAGCATTCCCTCTCAACAATAACAAAGGATTGGAAACTTGGTCGTTTGATTTTTTTTGGGGGGGGGGGAATGCAAGGGTACATTATCTCTTTTGACTTCCATCAAGAATGGGTTTCTCTGAAGTATGTACAGCATAAGTGAAAAAAATAGAGGCAATATTATATATTAATTTACCAAATAGCCTAGCTGACACCAGCCAGAGCATAGAACAACTCAAAGAAGTAGTGGAAGATCGGAAGATGTGGAGAGACCTGGTCCATAGAATCGCCAAGAGTCGAACACAAGTGAATGGATAACATCACCATCACCCCAGTATTTTTCCAACTTCAGCCATCCAAAGATTCTACTTCTGGAACCTTCTTAGTAGAGTTTGATTCCACCTCTGTGCATTTAGCCTGATTTGCAAAATAATCATGAGCACTAGGACAGCCTACTAATAATACTAGAGTTATGTTTTCCTTGGCGTGCACGATTTATTTCTTTGGAACCAATTCCTAACTTGCAGGTACAACTTAGATCCTTTTCTTAACCACACTGATGATCAAATCTGGCAAGTTCTGAACCAGACGTTTATGAAGAACAAGGTATGTTTATGTTTTTGACACTGTGCATTATGATTTGCTGGTTATATAAAAAAAGACAGCACTTGAATGAATAGATCAATAGATTGTTAGATCGACAGAGATCGGGATAATATTGATAGATATAAAGATGGATGGAGAGACAGTAGAGACAGAAAGAGAGAGAGATCTATATAGATACAGATACAGGTATTTCTGAATCTGTATAACTATATATCTATAGATATAGATACAGATATAGATTGATAAAGATATAAAGAGAGAGATAAAGAGACAGAGAGAGAGAGAGAGAGAGATTCAAACAAGTTATCTATCATTGGATCCTTTAACACCAGAAGGCAACTGTTCACCTCTCTAAGAATGAATCAAGTTTATCTACTTATTCTATAATATTTCACCATCAAATGGAGATTATTTGTTGGAGAAAGGAGGTGTCCTCAATCCCTAGATGTTGGTTGCTCTGCAAAATGTTACACGGATCATTTCTCTCTCTCTCTCTCTCTCTTTCTTTCTCTCTCTCTCTGCTGTGCCTTTCTCCCGTTTGCCTGCCTTCCCCCCCCCGCCTGTCACCTAGCATTTGCATCACTTACCGCACGCTCCATTTACACCTGCATCACTTTCCCCAACAGAGAAGCGCCAATATAATTGTTAAAACCCCTGACCCGCCTTCAACTATTGTGAGCATCAAAGAGAACGTTTCAGCTAAGGGGTGTTTTCCTTTTCTCCCCCCTCTTGCTTTAGATTTCCAAACTACCAGGAAAGCTGGAGGCAGAAGTGGTCGAAAACGGGGAAAATTTTTCAGTGGGGGAACGACAGCTGCTCTGTCTGGCGAGAGCCCTCCTGCGAAACTCAAAAGTGAGTCCTGCCCGGATTTGACTTTATTCCGGCTGGTCTTGAATACTTGAGAGTCTCTTGAAGCTAAAAGATTGTTCAGTCTGCCTTTTCAGCTAGTTTTGCAGTTATGGTGAAGGGACATTAAAATGCTGTCCCTTCCAGTCCTATGATGCTATGACACTACTATTTAGCACTCGGCAATAACACTTAGACTTATATACCGCTTCACAGTGCTTTACAGCCCTCTCTAAGCGGTTTACAGAGTCAGCATGTTGCCGCCAACAATCTGGGTCCTCCTTTTTACTGACCTTGGAAAGATGGAAGGCTGAGTCAACCTTGAGCTGGTAAGAATCAAACTGCTGGCAGTCGGCAGAATTAGCCTGCAGTACTGCATTCTAACCAGTGCACCACCGTGGCTTAGATAGCAATAACAATAGAATTTAGACTTATCTATCGCTTCACAGTGCTTTACAGCCCTCTCTAAGCGGTTTAGAATCAGCCTATGGCCCCCAACAATCTGGGTCCTCATTTTATTGACCTCGGAAGGATGAAAGGCTGAATCACCCTTGAACTGGTCAGGATCGAACTCTTGGCAGTGGGCAGAGTCGGCCTGCAGTACTGCATTCTAAGCACTACACCACCACAGCTCTTATTTAAAGGCAAGTTAGATTATATCCCTGGTGTTTATATAGATTATGCACAAAACAAGGCTCTAAGCAGAAGCAGGAGTGATTCTGGAGTTCAGCAATGGTTTAGATTGAGGATTTGACTCAACCAAATCTCCAACTCAGCTCAGATGAACCAGGTCAGTTCAGATCAGATTTGGATGAAAGCTGATGACCCAGTGTATCTATGCAAAAAGGCTTTCTTCACAAATCTAATCAGGTTTTGAAGTGTCGTGACTCTTTGGAGGATATTGGGACTTCTGATGGACCCTTTTGGGCCTGGCCCAGCACAAGGGCGAGTCTTCTTGTTGTCTTCCATCCTGAAGGCAGGACAAGAAACAATGGATGGAAACTAATCAAGGAGAGAAGCAACCTAGAACTAAGGAGGAATTTCCTGACAGTTAGAACAATTAACCAGTGGAACAACCTACCTCCTGAAGCGGTGAATGCTCCAACACTGGAAGTTTTTAAGAAGAGGCTGGACAGCCATTTGTCTGAAATGGTATAAGGTTTCCTACCTGAGCAGGGGGTTGGACTAGAAGACCTCCAAGGTCCCTTCCAATTCTGTTATTCTGTTATGGTCAGTTATGAAAGTGGAGGGAGCTTCCCAGCACCTGGCTCTATAGAAGCTCTCTTCAGTAATTTTATCGGGCCCTCATCCTAACTTTACTCTGATTTTTTTTTCTAAGGGGCCTTACTCTGTGTTTTATTTAAGCAATTGTTTGCATATTTAAGAGACTCGTTGAAATATTTAAACACTCGTTTTGGTGATTGGTTTCACCTCACTCAAAGGATGGACTGTTTAAATTATACTGCAGTTCCAACACTATCATAATAATGTTTTTATTTTATTTTGTTCATCTGGTCAGGTAGAACAGCCCTACCGCTATTCCAACCAATTCTGGTCTATTCAAGAGGCCTCGTTCTGTTCCCTTTCCAGCCACTGCTGTCCCTGGGGCTGCCATTCTTTCTGCAAAAGGAAGATGGTGCTGTTGTTTAAAGGGCCAGCAGGCTCCATGTGCCAAATGTCAACTCTACCTGATCTTGTTAATAAGGAATCCAAATATTTGTTTGGTTAAATAGGCTCTAAGGAACAACAGGTTTACTCTGTATCTCTGCTTGGCATACTGCTTTTCGTTCCAAAAATATTTGTTCTGACATTTTGCTGTTCAGTACCTCACCGAAAAGCCCTTACATCTCCTCTCAAATCTATGTTTGTGCAACATGTGTCATCTGCACAGGTTACTATGGCTAGGTTCACACAGCACCTTAATTCCAAACTAAGCCGACCGCAATTCGTCAATGCATTACCGTCATTGTAAAACCCAAAGGTGCTTTTTCAAAAGGCAACTGGACTTTGTTTTCCCTTGAGGACATGTCACTTCTCATCCAAGAAGCTTCTTCAGTTCTGACTGAATGGTGGGGGATGGAAGGATTTATATTCCTTGTAGTCATCTGGTCGTTAGCACTCTTTCTGAGAGTCCTGGAGGCCACTTAGAGGTTTATCTGTGTCCTCAGAGTCACCTGAATCATGCAAATGGGTGTGGAACTATTCACTATAACATTATTCAGGTGTTATAAATTTCCAAGGGGCTTCAACAACTCTCAGTAAGAGTGCTAATGAACAGATAATAATAATACTAATACTAATAATAGTAATAATAATAAAGTTGGAAGGGACCTTGGAAGTCATCTAGTCCAACCCCCTGCTCAGGCAGGAAACCCTGTACCATTTCAGACAAATGGCTGTCCAGTCTCTTCTTAAAAACTTCCAGTGTTGGAGCATTCACTGCTTCTGGAGGCAGGTTGTTCCACTGGTTAATTGTTCTAACTGTCAGGAAGTTTCTCCTTAGTTCTAAGTTGCTTCTCTCCTTGATTAGTTTCCATCCGTTGCTTCTTGTCCTGCCTTCAGGTGCTTTGGAGAACAGCTTGACTCCCTCTTCTTTGTGGCAGCCCCTTTGTGGCAGCCCCTTTGTGGCAGTGTTCTTTGGAACACTGCTATCCTGTCCCCCCTCGTCCTTCTCTTCGTTAAACTAGACATACCCAATTCCAGTAGCCATTCCTTGTATGTTTTAGCCTCCAGTCCCCTAATCATCTTTGTTGCTCTTCTCTGTAAAGTAACGTTCTACATTTAGGCAAGAAAAACCAAATGTACAGGTATAGTATAGGGGGTACCTTGCTCAATAGTAGTAACTGTGAGAGGGATCTTGGAGTCCTAGTGGACAATCCCTTAAATATGAGCCAGCTGTGTGCTGCAGGTGCCAAAAAGGCCAACACAGTGCTAGGCTGCATGAACAGAGGGATAGAATCAAGATCACGTGAAGTATTAATACCACTTTACAATGCCTTGGTAAGGCCACACTGGGAATACTGCATCCAGTTTTGGTCACCACAATGTAAAAAAGATGTTCCTCCACCATTCAGTCAGAACTGAAGAAGCTTCTTGGATGAGAAGCAAAGCGTCGTCAAGGAAAAAGCAAAGTCCTTTTGAAAAAGCGCCTTTGGGACAATCATGATCTGGATGACTGAGAATCTCCAGAAACAGTCATTGTAAGACCATCTTTGTGCATCAGGCCTCCAGTTGGCGAGTTGCCTTGGCTACTTTTGTGTGCCAACATTCATTTACTTTTCCTTGCTTGCCCTTGTAGAAAAAGAAGACAATCGCCCAACCTGTTTGAATTCTTCCCACAGATTATCCTCCTTGACGAAGCCACTGCTTCTATTGATTCCGAGACAGATACGCAGATTCAGAGGGCCAATAAAGAAGCATTTGTAAACTGCACAGTCTTGACAATAGCACACCGCCTCAACACCATTAAAGAGTGCGACCGCATTTTGGTGCTGGATAAAGGCAAGGTATTGAACCGGGGGGGGGGGGGGAAATCGACAGAAGACCCAGTTTATCAAGTAACTGATGTATTAGACATTGGGATTATTTTCAGAAAAGTATTCTTTTGGGTCCTTTTTAAACAATAAGGATTCATTTTGCAGAAAAGGGAAAATGATTTATTTTTCTCTTAAGTAAACAATACTTAAAGGGTGAAATGCACTTTATTCATAACCAACACCCCAGTAGGCACCCAAATAATATTAGGAGAAAAATACAAAAATGAATGCAAATAATCTTAACATGAACTAAAGAGATAGGAAGCTAGCACTGATGAGGTTATCTAGTTGAGTAATGAAACGTCTTCAAGAGAACAACCAAGCCCAGAGAACACCAATGACCCCATATCCCTCCTCTCTTCCTCCTCCTCCTCCTCCTCTCCACAAACCCCACTGCCTTCTAGCACTGATAATGTCACAAAGTTGGGTAATGAAATGTCTGCAAGAAAACAACCACACTCAGAGAACACCAATGACCCCACACCCGTTCTCTCTTCCTCCTCGTTCTCCTCCTCCTCCTCCCTACAAACCCCACTGCCTTCTAGACTGATAATGTTACAAAGTTGGGTAATGAAACGTCTGCAAGAAAACAACCAAGCTCAGAGAACACCAATGACCCCACAACCCTTCTTTCTTCCTCCTCCTCCTCCTCCTCCTCCTCCTCCTCCCTACAAACCCCACTGCCTTCTAGCACTGATAATGTTGCGAAGTTGGGTAATGAAATGTCTGCAAGAAAACAACCACGCTCAGAGGGCGCCAAGGACTCCAGAGAGATGGGAATCTATGGCAGATTGCACATATTCCCGATCATGAGTTCTGTTTTAGAAAAGGAGCACAATACAATAAAGGAGCACCCAGGGCAAACCCAATCCACAATGAAGGCTCAGAACAAGTCAACGGTTTTCTCTTATTGAGCCCTCCTGGATTCCTCCCCCACTCGTCCCTCTTCTCCTTCCCCCAGACAACTTTTAAATGCATTCAGGGAACTCTCTGTACACTTGCTTCATACTTGACATTTGCTAATGTACCTGACATTTCTTATATTTCACTCCTGATTATTTTCAGGTTGTTACTTTCGGCAAGCCAAAAGAAATTTTCAAACATCCCAATTTTCATTTGCCTGTGGCTTAGCCACGGCCAGGAAAACCCCCATCAGAGGAAGGCAAGACCACCAGCAGCACCAGCAGCGCTTTCCAGGTGGACTTTGGACAATTGAGGCGTTGCAGGGAGGAAGGCAGCCAATGGAGAATACATGCTTAACTCACCCGGCCTGTCCACAGGTATTATGACTTTTCACCGTTGATCCCCGTCTTGCTTGGTGAGTTCCGAAGCTGGCATGAAGCAGGCAATTAAAACAGAGAATGTGCCGAGGAAAATGGAAAGAAGCACCATGAGCTGTGTGTCCAACAAGTTGCTTTCATCTTGTGTTTGGCGTTTCAAAAATAAAAGTAGCCACCGTCTCATGTGCAAAGAAAACATGCTTCTCTGGTACATTGGTCTCCAATGCAAGGGTGGGATGAAAACCTGAATACTGAACCATCTGCAATCCATTAGACTTGAATATGTTCCAGTGTAACCAATTGCAAATGTAGTTGGCTCCAACTAAAGTTTCATTGACCTTAGCACAGTTTAATCACAATTCTAACCATTGTCTGTCCACTGCAGGATGAAGGCCTCTTCCACATGTTTCCAACCGATACAGTCTTGAGCTTTCTTTCGCCAACTGGGCCCGCCATACTTGCTGATGTCATCGATCCATCTTGTTCTAGGTCTCTTTCGATCAAGTGGGAACTATTCTATGACTGTCTTGGTCCTTCTGCCCTTAATTCTTCTTGTTTTGAGACCGGCCCATTTCCATTTCAATTCTTTTACTCCCTCGATGGCATCGTATACTTTTGTTTGTTCTCCAATCCATGTGCAGGTCTTCCTATCTTGTCTTGTGATGCCAGTCCTGTGTCTTTCCATGGCTCTTTGCACAAGTAATGACAATTATCACTTTCAAAACCAAGCCAAAAATGCAGAATTTTTCTTTGAAGGAAGCATCCATATATCCTTGGTAGTAAGGTGACCAACTTTTTTACTATGAAAAGGAGGACACAAATAAATTGAAGAAAAAAATATCATAAATAAAAGAAACATTTTATTCATTGCAACAATAATACAGACAACTTGCACGTGCCAAGTTTGCCAGCCGGATGTTTTGGCGCGCTCAGCAGCAATTCCTATTGACTTTCGAAAGCCAATAGGGAGAGTAGCACAGCTCATGCAAAAGTTGAAAAAAAACCATCAAAAAAAAGGTGCCGGAATGCCGTTCTAAGCGTTCTGTGAGGGGGGAAAAAAAGCCCTGCAGATTAGTCTTCAAATATCGAAAAGGAGGACATGCAGGAGGACACTTTTCGAGGGAGGACAGAAATTACAAAAGGAGGACTGTCCTCCCTAAAGGAGGATGGTTGGTCACCTTATTGGTAGCAATCTTGTACTGTCTTAGATCGTCTGATTCACTGACTTCAGTGAGGCTTAGATTTAAGCAGCTCTGCCGAATTGCAGGAAGCAGTTTTTGTCCCTAGCTTTTGGTGTATCCAGTAATAAAAGGAGACGGGCACGATCCAGGTGGAGATTTTAAATCTCCCAGGCCTTATAACCAAAACTAATCCCAACATATAGTAAGTTTAAAAGCCTCATTGCAATCCATGAATTGTAGAACAGTTTTCCAAAGGCTGAATTGGGCCCGATAACATACAAACCTCTCTTACAGGTTTTCCTTGAATTACGACCACAACTGAGTCGCAAATCTTTTGTTGCTAAGTGAGACATATTTAAGTGAGTTTTGCCCCCTTTTATGACTTTTCTTGCCACAGTTGTTAAGTGAATCACTGCAGTTGTCAAGTTAATAACTCAGTTGTTAAGTGAATCTGGCTTCCCTCGTTGACTCTGCTCGTCAGAATGTCGCAAAAGGGGATCACATGACGCCGGGACATTGCGATCGTCATAACTGTGAGTCAGTTGCCAAACGTCTGAATTTTGATCACGTGACTCCGGGGATGCGGAAACGGTCGTAAGTGTGCAAAACGGTTATAAGTCCCTTTTTGCAGTCTTTGTTGTGACTTGGAACAGCCACTAAATGAACTGTTGTAAATCGAAGATTCCCTGTATTCTCTATGAGATTAGATTAGATTAGATTATTATAAACAGCTGCATTGCTAATGAACACAAGATCTGCATTGTAAATAGGGTAAGGGACCAGTCGTAAGCTTGACCTCGATTGTTAGTTTTTAAAGGGAACTCTTTTACCTGGCAAAGCCATCCCTGGTCACGCTGATTTATCTTTCCGCTATTCGTACAGAATAACAAACAGTCCTATTGGGAAGGATAAATATAGCCATTTAATTAATATTTGCTTGTTCCCATGGTTTTATTGCCCCCAGATTGCTAACTCATTGCCATTTTATTGTGTACAAATAATATTCCTACATTCATATCTGGCTTTAAATGTCAGTATATTACTACTACTACTACTACTACCATTACTATTCGGCAACTCCTTTTGTTTCTTTTTAGCATGAACAGCCTACTAGAGGCTGCCTTTGAATCACGAACAATAGTGCCGTACTGAGAGTCTAAAATGTTCCTAATGAATGCTGGAGTGGGAACATCATGGCCTAATGTAGCTACAATTACATGGGCTGTCTTCAGATGTTGCAGGATCAGGTGCAGAAGAGAACAAACCAGCACCTCCTCCTGTTAAATGGATAGCAACTGGCATGACTCATCGGCCGTGCTGGAATTATCCAAACAGAGCATTATATGTTTCCTGCAGGAGAACTGATCTAGCAGAATGTTCCCTGCTGAAAGAAACTGTATATTTTGGAGGAATGCTAGCTCACTAGCTAAAGCAAGGGTCCCCAACCACTGGGCCACAGCCTGTTCAGAACTGGTCCATGCAAGGGGCGGGTGAGTGTGCATCCACGCAGCTCCACTTGTGCGAGCGGTGGGCAGTCACACTCCACACAAAGCTCCACTTGCATGAGCAGTGGGCACTCCTGATCATGCACAAAGCTCCACTTGCATGAGCAGCAGGCGCTCCTGATTACGCACAAAGCTCCACTTGCATGAGCGGTGGGCACTCACACAAACAAAGCTCCACTTGCATGAGCGGTGGGCACTCACACTCACAAACAAAGCTTCACTTGCATGAGCGGTGGGCACTCACACACACAAACAAAGCTCCACTTGCATGAGCGGTGGGCACTCACACACACAAAGCTCCACTTGCACAAGCAGTGGGCACTCACACTCATGCAAGCTCCACTTGCATGAGCGGCGGGCACTCCTACCCACACCTGAAGCTCCATTTGTGTTAGCTTGCCCAAATAGAACTATATGCACACCCACTTGCACAAATGGAACTGTGCACACTCATCTGCACACCTACCACTCACACGGAACAGCCCCGTCTCCCCCACCCTGTCTGGGCAGGCCACCAAACTGGAAAGGTTGGGGTTCACTGAGCTAAAGCATTGGTCATTTGGATTCGCCAAATTGTTGCAGTATGGACTGTTCAGAACCATGCTCCTTTTCAAGACACACCATTTCTTACACTGCCATTGGTCTTCCTGATCTATCTCCCTTCTTTCAATTATCAACCACTATTTCATGGTCACTGAATGTGCTCAGAAAGGCACAGCCTTCCTCGTCTCCACCGCATATATTTCCAAAGTCACGGATGCTTAAGATTTCCAAACGTGGAGATTAAATGCTGTAGCAATTATAACTTCTAGAAGTAATTGCAATCTCTACCTAAAGAAGATTATCAAGTCGCTACTCAAGTGAAATCAATCTAGATTCAAATAAACACAACACACCTGCTTGATTTCATATTCTGGTATGCAAGCATGCCTAATATGAGTTTCCAATCGTGAAAAAATATGATCATTCTCATATCCTAATTATGAGCATCTCAGCTGTACAGGTCCATATTATGTTAGATAGTCCTTTTCCTTAATCCAGTGAGGCTCTTATGTTCTCACAGAGATCGCCCGACACTATCAAATCTTTCTTGAAAAGCCCCTGAGAACTAATCTTCTTCTAACATGGCTATCCCAAAGATGAAGATGTTGCAGCTGGGAAATTGTTTTGGGAAAAGATAGAACGGATATTGGCCTGTTTCAGGCTTCAAACTCACACAGACAGCAGCGAGCTGAGAATAGCAATTTACTCAAGACTGAGTAGATAACGGCAGATAAGGGAAGGAATGTAAATCAGCAAAATCTCTTGGAAAAAAAAATCTTGCCTGGGTGGTTTTGCTTTCAACAGGCGCACACAGAAGAATAGTTAAAATCCAGTCCAAAGTTCAAAAAGCGAAGTCAAGTTTGTCAGGCAGTCCAAGGTCAGAGTTTCACAAACATTTGAATGTTGCAAGGTAAGTAAACCATTTTCCTCCAATCCTTTTGGAATACAATTTTCACACACCTTAACCTTTGGACATTTTGTCTGAGAACTCTAGAAATGGTCATCTAAATCTCTCTGGAAGGTAGTAAACTGAAGAAAGGTCTCCTATTTTTTTAAATGACCCTGTAATCTCTTGCTTCAAGGTGAGATCAGGGTGACTGAGTGGAGCTGAGCGTTTACTGGCTGGATGCCCTTCCTGACACCTACACGGAGTTCACAGTAGATATTTTCTTTTTGCACCCTGATAGAGAAATATCTGTCACTGCCTAGGATTGAACTCTCAACCTTCCGAATAGGAGACAAACTGCCTTAACTTCTAGGCCACCACTCCAGTCAAAGAAAGGTCTCTTAATATATCACAGTAATTAGAAATGTTAAGGAAAAATGCAACTGAAGTCGATCCTTTACCAATTGTGACCTTGTTGGAGTCACAATCTGGATCAGACCTATCTACATTGATAGAAAACTTTCCAGTCTCTCTGGTATGACTGTCCCCCAACTCCCCAGTGTAAATCATACATTTGACTCTTGCTATGGATTGTGACCCCAGTGGGTTAAATTAAACAAGCAAATAAACCCTGTCCTTCCCCGTTGGCTTTTCTTCTTTCCTCAAACAGCACATCTGCAACCATTTACTCTTTAGGTTAATCAGTCTATTGATTAATCCATTGCAGCTCTAATGGGTAATAAATCAGCTTAAACAAACACAACCCTTTTCCTTTTAACCTCCCTTTGAAAGCATAAAATCCCGTTAGGGGACTGCCCCAAGCATAAGTGACGGCGCCTTCAGAACCTTTGTGACTTATTTGGGGCCTAGAGACACCTCTCTGGTGTGTTGCAACAGGCATATATGTTCAGGCTCATTTTTCAATGATTGAGCAACTGAAGGAACAGCCTTCCTGGACGGGGAACTCACGCCAAGCGTGACAGCCAGCTACCCAACCGAGGAAGAGTTCAACCAACCGGCGGGCAAGGCGAGGGCGCCAAGGGAGGCTCCTGGAGAACCCAAAAGAGCAGGTTAGCTGTTGGATGCCCGGCTGACATTGATACAAGAGGACAATGTTCTCAAGGGCTGTTGCTGATGGCAGTGATAAATGACAGCGATTTCTGGAGCTGAAAAAAAAGTCAAGTGAAGATAAAGGATAATAAATGGAGAAGCAACATACATGACACCAGGACTAGGGAAGTAAGTGCAAAGAGGGATGATTGATTGATTTCGGGGGGGGGGGAGATGAAAGCCATCTGGGCACAACAATATTTCTCTACAGTCGATGTTGGCCACTGTCAGTCTGTACCTGAACAAGAAACTAGGACATTTTAGCAGGATGGATGTCTGCAGAGAGCTGAAGAAGCTTCTCGGATGAGAAGTGAAATATCTTCAAAGAAAAACAAAGGAAGTCCAGTTGCCTCATGAAGGACCACCTATGAGAAGTACAAGGTTTCTTGCTTGAGCAGG